GAGAATTATTTAATATGCTCGATAAAAGGCTTTGATTGCACCTGCGTAAAGCTTTTGGAAAAGCTCTGGTGGGTGTTGTCTCCAAACGATGTGCAAATGATGAGTTGTATAATGATTGGGGGCACACTGTATTGAAAGAAGCATTCGATCATGAAGCAGGACGAGCCAAATGAACTTCTGCCAGTGATTGTCGATGCTTTGTTGACCGATTAAAATGTTCTAGTGGCAATTATGAAAATAAGTATCCAGACAGTAAAAGATCTTAAAAGCCACATCTACTCTCAGTCAATCTGTATAGTTCTTACCAATAACGTTCACAATTGTGGACAGTAACAGGAGAATTTTGAGACTGGTTGTGAGGTTAGAAGTTAATATTAAAGTTAGATTAGACTGATGGTGACCTTAAAACCCGTAGTCAGAAAGATTAGCATTTAATCTCCATTTGTTTTCTACCAATTTGTCAGAAAATTACTCTCAGGTTTGAAATGCCTTCATATTTTCCTACTATAATTCATAAACAACACAAAGAAGAAGAAACCTGGAGGAATTTCAGTAAAACCCAAGCTTGGCACCTGTACTATCCGCTTCCTCACATGGCTCCGCATCAAAAAACACCATCTATCAAATGTAACAAGAGTAACATCCACAAATGCAGTTAAACACAGTACTGGCCAAAATACAAGGTTCATGTTCATCAGGCAGAGGAGACTTCTCAGGACACCGAGGCGTCTGCGATGGACCATTGAGAAGTGGAAACATGCACTGTCTGGGAGAAATGAATACCTTGTGCTACAGACCAAAACAGAAAAGGAACATCCAGGCTGTCATCAGCCAACTGTCCGAAATCCAGGGTCTGTAAAATCAAGCTGTCAAGTTTGAACACGAGTCTTGGGTTCATGCTGCTTTAAGTGAAGCAGAAGTCAAAGTGAACAGGATTGCTTTTTTTTCCTCTCCACTTTTATTACACCTATTTGCACTTTATTGCTTTTTTTTTGTTCAAAATCCAAATGTAATACATAGTAAATTCACCAGAAAAATAATATTCAGTCAGCTCATATTGTTGTAAAAGCCATCAAAATAATTATTTATTCGAGTCATCAAATCAATTGATGTTTCTTGTCTCGTATTTAAAGGCAACTTGATTATGCAGTTGGGAAGTTGGTGATCTGATCTTGGCATGTCGGAGGAAACATGAGGAAAGGCAGAGATTTGGGGAACTCAGCCATTTAAAAATTTGAAAGTCAGCAAATCTGTTCTCTGACATCTTGGTGAGGTTTGTACTCTAGTAAGAAGATGGACACCTGTATTTTTTAGCACAAGTTGAAGACTGAGTCAAGTGTGACTGAGTCAAACAAAATGACCGATAATATTTGTGCTAACTATTATTCTTTTCTCTTTTTCTGAGTAAATGAATAAAACTTCAAACAGAAATGTTGTGAGCTTAGAAATGTGTTCTAGTATTTTTGGAAAATACCTTCCTAAGGGAGAGTCAGTACATGTGAGGTTTCAATGTGCTGCTTTGAAAGTGGTGGTACTGGAAAATGCTAAGAGTTTTTGTTTTTTCTTGTTTGTCAAACAACATACCCTGACTCAGTAAGGAGGTATTTCCATATTTTGTTATGACAGGGGTCTCCAAAGCATAGCCTGCAAGCCATTTGTGGCCCTCGGAACAATTGTGTCCAAGAAGGACCAGTTTTTTTTTAAAAGACATTTTTTAGGGCGAGACTGTTAGATACAACACAAAGTGTGTCTGTTTTAATCACCGTGTTTCTGCTTTCATTTTCATTAGTTTCATTTGTGTCTGTGTACTTCTTTGCAGCAAAAATCCACAGGTTTGCAGTAACAGCCTGTTTACTGTCTTACTGTTTCATAGCCACTTTTCATGCACAGCTAAATGCTTACTCTTCATTCCATGTTGAGGAAAAAACATTGGAAACTCTTTTGGTTTTTGCTTTTTTTTTTTTTTTTTTTTGGAATGCCCCAACATCAGTATAAATGTAAATTGTTCAATATACTTCAACATGTTGGCTCTGTTAATCCTGCCCAGGGAAACCGCGATCGGAAACATTGTTTTTTTACAATAACACATTTCATCTTTACAAGAGTTGCTGCTGCTCTTTTTTATAGCTCTTCATGTACCAAGGAGCTGCACAACATCATGGAAAGCACTTGTGTTTAAGCTGCATTTAAAATAAGTTTGTTTAAACTTGAACACTTTCATTTATGTACTGATGCTCCGCTGAGTTGCGCTGCAGGTTCATAACCTCGGTGAAGGAGGGGAGGTGGGGAAAAAGAAAGATCCCGGGCAGATCGAGTTGATATTGCATGCCGATAATATTTGTGCTAACTGTTATTCTTTTCTCTTTTTTTGAATAAAAGAGAAAATGTATGTAAGCAGAAAGCTACAGATAGTTAGCTAAGCATAAAAATAATTTGCAGTAGCAGAGAACAGGCAGAAAGCTGGCCATGAAGGTGTTCTCCCCTGAGCAGTGTGTTGGAAACAAGTGGAGAGAAACTTCTAACCTACCTCTGCATTTCACTTCTAAACTCTGTAAATGTGTTCCAGGGCATTTCAAGCCTGTCTGTATCTATAAACCTGCAATTCTGGGTCACTGGTCTGTTGATTCGAAGGAAATGAATTATACTAATACCAATGTATGGAATACTGTTAGCTGGATTAGTGTTTATTTAGGAAAAGTACATCTGTGTTGCTCCCACTTTTTATATCTTTTTTTATTTCTGTAACTATTTAAATAAAGATAGAACAGTAACTTTTCATTGCTGAGTGGTTTCTGGTGCATTACTGTCTAAAAAAAAATGAGAAGAGAAAAGTCAAAGTCAGCATTTTTCTCCCCCCAAATGTCCAACCTCAGAGCGAGGAAAGAGCTCATGCGGGCTTCACCTTTCCGCTTGACTGCTAAAGTTACTGTTTTTAAGCACACATCCATATGGATGCCCAGCTCATTGTCAAATTGTATCTTTCGACCCAGAGTGTTTGCAGAGGCCACCCTGGAGCTGCTGTTGTCTGACTGACAAGCTGGATGCAAAGCTGATTCCTACAAAAAAAAGAAAGAATAATAAAAAAATAATAAAAAAAAAACCTTTGTGCAAAAAGGAGGCTGTATTCCTCCTGTACATGCTGCATTCTAACTCATGCTTGCCAGTATTTGGTTCGTGATTGTTGGATTTAAATCCTCTAAGTAAACATTGACTTGATTTGGGTCTGTTTTATGTTTTAATTGTATGTTTTTACAAGTCCTGCTGCCTACAGTACGCAAGGTATTGCTTGCCAGTCGGTGACACAGGATTTTAATCAAATCCCTAAAAACGATGTCTGAAAGTACACATGGCTGATTTCAGCTAAACTCTGTGTCTGTTTATCATTAAAAAGACATGGAGACCACATTGCTCTGGCCTTTAGAGATGATGCGTTACCGCGCCTTACTGGAGTATTCCAACCTTTTCAACTCTTTTTTTGCTTTTTATGACCACAAACATTGAAGTATTTTATTGTGATTACATGTGATAGAACATGATGTGGTGCGTAATTATGAAGTGTAAATGATACATGGTTTTTCTCTTTTGTTTTTCCCCCTTTTTGACAAATAAAAGTTAAAGGATATGTGCAGCAGTTATCAACCAGCTTTGTCCAATGAGATAATTCAATTTTGACTCCTTTTTCTTTTGCAAAAAAGCTCAGTTTAAGTTTGCATTTAAATGAAATATGACTTCCTGGATGTCATATTTCAAGTCTTGCCACAGACTCCTGATTAGATGCAAGTCTGGACCTTGACCGGGCCATTCTAACCAATGATTATGCTTTGATCGGAACCATCCCATTGTAGACCGGCTGTGGGGTTAGAAGGCAAACCAGTTGCCCATTCTTAATTATACTGGACTTCCCATCCTGGATTGTTGTGAACTTCACTCCATTCCTTTTCCCATTAACTCTGACCTGCACCCCTGTTCCTGCTGAAAATGAACATTTCATTTCAAATGTGAGTTTGCTACCACAATGTGTTACGGTGCAGATGTTGCACTCAGATTGACATGCAACTAATCTGCTTCGCATAGCGTTTTGCTAATAAGCCGAAAAGTTTAATTTGGATCTCATCTGGCCAGAGTGCATTTTCCCACGTTTACTGGGTCTCCTACGTGGATGTAAGGGACACAGCAATCCACAACCAGGGATTCTTATTGCTTGTGTTCAACGACAGTTTCTTTTCATTCCTCTTTTAGGGCCATATTTATGGAGTTCACAACTAAAAGTTGTTCTTTAGACTCTTGAACATGAGCCACAGATTTCTGCAGAACTACAGTGGTCCGCTTCACTACTTCCCTGATTAATTCTCTCCTTTGGCCATCAGTTTAGGTGGTCAGTCTTGTCTTCATAGGCTGTGCTTTTTACTTCTGATGTTTTAATCAGAGCTTATGGGATGTTCAAAGCTTGAAATAATGTTTTAAAGCTCAACCCTGCTTTGAGCTTATCCACATCTTTATTCCTGGCCTGCGTACCGTGTTCTCTGGTCTTCATGATGCTGTTTGTTCTTTAATGTTCATTAACAAACATCTGACGCCTTCATAGAGCAGCTGCATTTACACAGATTAAATTACACACAGATGGACCCTGTTTGTACTGATTAGATGGTTTCAGATAGCAATTATTTGCGTTAGGTTTTATTCACACCTATCAGAATTTAAGGGTTGAATGTAAATGGCCAATTTTCTTTTTAGTTCTTTCCTGTCTATAAAACACTTTGAAAACCATCTATCATTTTGGATTCATTAGGGAAATTCATTGGGTTGTGTGAAAGTAACATGAAAAATTGAAAAGTTTCAAATTATAACTTTGGCATAAGATTAGAGTTCTCACATTTTGCTACAATTTAAGGCTTTTAGTTTTCTTCAAAAAGTTGTATCATTCTTTTTTGAATAATGAAAGTAAAACTGTTTTCTAATTTGGCAAATAACTTAAACTGTTCTTTTCTGTCTCCTTTTAGGGTCCTCCAGGCCCACAGGGAGAAAAGGTGAGTAATTATACATGCTTCTGTTAATATGTTAAATATATATTTTACGATGTTTGCAGTTTGATGATTTTAAGAATCCGTGATTTTACTCATAATAGAGTGGTTTATCGATACTTGTTCTGTTGCTGAAAACATGCGTCTTCCTCTAAATAGAAACTGTTATCAGTGTTAGTGCTTTAAGATCGACACCCTGATTTTGTCTGAGAGTCTTATTTTGAAGAATTAAAGAAAGTTGCTATCCTCTTGTATTGATGTGGTTTCTTAATGGAGATTCCCTTATAAAACCTCACCAAAGGTTTTATAAGCCTTTATATGCATTAGCATTGCTGAAGTTACTATTTTTAAATTGCTTATCTGACAGAACGAATTAATGATCTGTAAATCTTAAAATACCTCCAACGGCTAACCATTAACAACAAGTAATGCAAAACTTGGCATCTGCTTGTTATCAGAACTAAATCAAAGGGCTATTTTACTGCTTTGCAATCAGTCTGAATAGTATTTCAGAAAATCTAGTAAAAATTCAAGCTGAGTATTTTTGAAAGAATTCTTTTTAGTTAAATAAAACATTTATTCCATTCACAAAAAACCAAAATAAATATCCCTACTGCTGTGACATTAGGACCACCTCAAGAGTGTCGTAAGGCAGATTAAAGAGTGTCTTAATGGCCGTATAATAGAACTGCTTAATGAAAAATTATTATCTTTTTCTGACCTTTCGCACATGTTGATCTACAAAGTGATTGTAGTTGCAAGTGATTGTAGTTGCAAGTTCATATACATTCACGCTGCTGCCTTTTCCTTCATCTGCTTGTTTTTCTTAGACTCAACAGTCTTAATGCAACAGTCAAAGCATGGCTTTTATTTTTTCAAGATATTTCCATTGCCAGTCAAGCCAACAAAACTGTATGCATCTCTCCAAGCAAAGTTTTATAAAATAGATGATAATTTTCTTTTTAAGCTACATAAACTACATTTAAAAGCTTTTTCTTTTCAAAGTGGAAAGAGACCTGACCTGAAAAAGCCATAGCAAACATGTGTAAGGACCTCCAGTATTTAGAGGTTGCAGTTCATTTGGCCACAGAGAGTGTAATTTGGTATCTGTTCCCATTTTATGCGAATTTAAGTCAACCTGACCTTAGGTTTCAATTCTAACATTCCTTTCTCAGGCTCACATCCACAGCACAGAGTGTTAAAAGCCACAGTCCCATGTAGGCTGAAACCCTAAAATGCCTCACTGTGCAATGCTCCATAAAACAACAATGAAGCGTGCAAAATAACCACACAGCTTCTTCACAACTCTGAAGTTCTGTGGACAAAGAGCATGCCTGTGGAATAACACCAACATTGATCAAATCCCTGAATTTATTCATTATATCCTCTGGGTTTGTGTTTGAATTTAAAGTGAAAACACTCTTAAAGACATCAGTATTGAAACTCAGCGGTATTGAAACTTAGAATTAAAGTAATTTAATAATAATTTACCAACTAAATTATCATTAATAAACCAAATTAATGATAATTGAATCATTAATTATAAATTATTCATATGCTCTAAACTTTTTTTCACAATTCCTGTTGCTACAAACATCAGTGTATTTTGGGGGGATGAGGGAATAGATAAAAACGTGGGGCCCAAGAAACAGAGCAGACAGTCAAAGGGTAAAGTTGTGGTAAAGTTTTCCAAAAGTCAGGTCTTAAGAGATATATCCTCAAAATACTTGTAGGGAAACTAAAGCCACATTTTTCAGATTTCGATTTGTACGAACACTTTCTCCATTCCTTTCCTTCACCAATTACTTGTTGCTTTGTACAGGTCTATTGCATCAAATCTTAATAAAATACATTGAAGATTGTTACATAACAGAAGGCGCATAAGTCCAAGGGGCATTGACACTTTTGCAAGAATTGTGCTTCATTGAAGTAGTTACTCTGATTTTGTGTACGTTTATTAATGATAAACATAATATATTTCCTGTGTTAAACAACAGGAAATAGCGTGCATAGAGTCAAACGCATTGAGAGCAATAAGTGTCATCTCAGTCAGTCTACACTCATTTGGAAACGGATATTTGTTGCGTGTTTCCACTAACCAGCATCATAAATTAACACAGTGATTTCTTTTTCTTCTTCTTGTTTTTATTAGCACAATGTCGTGATTCTCACTACCAGATCTACATGACTGTCAAACATTTGTTTTGAAAGCCGTGAACTGCAGGGTCCTGTTGACTAAACTGGTGTCCGCTCTTCTCGTATAAACCACTTCATCTGCAGTTTGATGAAATCCAAAACAACTTTGCGCTCCCTTCCCCACCCAGGATGAACAAAGGGTTTGTCGGCGTGGCCGTTCGCAACTGTTTTCCCATTTAATTTGGTTCTGGCAAAACAGCTCGATGAAAAATGACAAAAATTCCAAGAACTGTTATTATTTAAAATTACACACCGACGCTTGTTTTGATGAAGTTTCCCGTCCATGCGTGATAAGTTTCTCGGGTTATTACACTACTGCAGATCAAAACTCAATCAAACAAGACGGTTTGAATATTCTCATTTATTTGATTTTAGACCCATTAAGGTTATAATTCACCTTCCAACATTTACTCTCCCTTTGCTTATTTTAAACTACAGAGTGCTTTTGTTTGGAGTTAACTCTAATGTGATAAAGCCACAGTCTTTGGCATGCGGACTGACTGGAAACCAAATGTTTTAACCTTCAGAGTCGGCCTCCGTCCACAGACATACACCCCCAGAAAAGGCAGACGGCCAGAAGATCTCTGGGGCAAATAAATCTGGCATAAATGCGGTTCCCACCCGCCCCCTCACCAAAACCTCACACCACCACTCTCCTTCTTCTCTCCTTCTCACATACCCAATTCATGTCATTCCATGTTATCATAAGTGATTTTACTTTCAACCACAATGAATAGTTGAGGGTTCCTGTATTATTTCACGTTATCAATGTGTTCTGCATTACGCCTGAGTGATTTTGGTGTGAGCCTCGGCTTATTGCTGCATTACTGTATTTATGCATGTGTTCCTGTATGTTTTACCCTCAGATCCTGAGACAAGTTTTCTTTTTTTTTTTCTTCTCTTTTGTAGGGAGATCAAGGTGACCAGGGACCACGGGTATGCGGTTTCCTTTGACTTCTTTGTGATTAGTAGATGAATGTGACTGTGTGTGTCTCCCCTTCGTCCCCCAGCAGAATTGTGGGCAAAAGGTTTGAAATGCATGAAATTCCTGGGATAGAGTTCTTCCAGTGTGGCCAAATACAACAAGCATCCCAGTGCTGCTTGTTTCCACATCAGCAGCGGGTAGGCGGACTTGTGAGAAACTTTGGGAGACTTGAACAGTCCCCCTGCAGCAGTTGAAAAATGCTCATTTTTACTTCGTCATTGGATTTAATTTGCAGTTTGTTCCCACCAGCAGAAGAGCTCTGCTCAGTCTCAACAACAACAAGCAAATACCAGTTTTGTCTTCACACTAAGTCGACTCGTGATAAACCTCAGTTCTAGTTATGATGTGGCATATTCACCGCTTTAATCATTTCCAGCTCTATAGGTCTGACATTTCTATAAAAGTGCAGCATCTAAATGATGCTAATGTAAGTGCTCTTCCATGCTTGACGCTCTCCGAAACGAATTAGTCTATCTCGGGTTAGCAGTCAGCGCAGCTTTCCTTTGCCCCCCCTCCAATAATGGCTAAAAAATGAGCTGTCCTTCTGCGAAACAGGCTGCACAGGTTTGTTTAAAGTAGACTGCATTAAGAGGGGTCACATGTGCTCATGCATGCGCACACTTTCACTTCCTCTGTCTCTGCTGTTGTTCATCAAGGGCGGATCGTATGTTAGTCAGAGTCACTTTGAACGCCTGTAATTGATTTATAATGGGCCAGAGAACACACAGAGGTTGGCACAACACGAAAAGAGAATTCAGCAGCACATTTCGTCTTGTCAGGAGAACTCCAGCCGTCTCTCAGGCAGATCTGATCCCAATTCAGAGCTGGCGCCCACCCAGACGTCAGCAGTTCACCGAGGAACTTTTTTCGGCTTTCCTCATGGCGAATTTCACCCGGTTCGGTTTATGATTTGAGAGTCAATACAAATGACCCTTTCTGTGAAATTCAATTAGAGGTCTCCAAGTGACACATCTAATGTTTCTCATAAGCATCCACCCAATTGTAGTCAATTGTAAGAGTAGCTTTCCCAGAGTGAGTTCCCCACGCTACAATACCTGCAACTAAAAGTGTTGTTAGACCTGCACTGATTAAGGAAGCAACGATAGAAATAGTTTTAATTAAAATTATCATATTTACTCTCTTACATTGGGTCATTTTTGACCAGCATTTAAGGGTATACTTGACATTTTGGGGCATCGATATTATATAACTTTGCAGTTTTGGTTGATTCATCCAACCTTAGACAGGTCGCCTGGCCATCACATGGAAACATAGGGACATGCACACACCTGCAGGCCATTTACATTGACCAGTTAACCGAACAATTATGTTTTTTGATTTGTGGTAGGAAGTCGGAGTACCAGGAGAGAACTCACCTATGTACAGGGGCCTTTTTATTTTTTTGTAATTCTCACTTTTCCATTACTGGAAGGTGACACCCTAACCATCCACCACTATTTAATCTGGTATCATCGCCAGATTAAATCACTTACAATAAATAATTTATTTTAAGTGAAAAAGCATCATTGAGGACAAATGTTTGCAGAGCTTGCAAAGTGCAATTTGCCTTCTAGAATAAATAAACAGCATTTTTAGAGACCATTTAAGCGTCTTTCTGTTACTGCAGTGTTGTCCATTTAATAGATGTAAATTAATGCACAGTCACATTCAAGGCATTACAGGGCAGAAAGCTGAGTAGGTCATTCCCCAAAAATATATTATTTACTTTCTGAAAGCAGCATATTGACTTTTTATATTAGATTAGTGAGTAAATGTAGTGGAACAGCATTTGAAAGATTTCTCTTAATAAATGAAGGCATAGCTGGACAAGAGCTGGCTGACCTTCGTTCTATTTATCCAGGTGGAAATGAGCCTCATTTCATGGCTCATATTGAGCCTGAGCAGGGAGTTGATTAGACCCGTATGAAAGAAGATATAAACAACGGAGCATGTCAAGATAATGTTCTCTACGTGTAGCACAGATTACGCTCCTGCCAGGTTGCATCTAAATCAGCTGTCCCTCAGAATACAACAAAAGACAGACTTCTACTTTTACAGCCGAAGAGAGTGTGAGAACTGTCCCACGGCACACTTCCTCTGCTTTCAGCCCACATGTCAGGGTCAGCCATTTGTCTGTCCAGAAAGGTCACAGGTCATATCCAAATATGAGAGGTTAACCAAGCAGCAAATAATGAATTGACCAGTTTTGACAAACAAATACATGACCACCTCTGAAGCAGCACTTGTGGATGTAATTATCGTGAGTTGCTGGCTGTGTGCATCGCACTGTAAGGTGTGTGGTCCCTTTTGATCCTCAGCAGTAACTGCAGCTGTCGGGCAAAGGTTGGAGAAATCATGGATTACTTTGGGCAAATCTTTCAAAAGCTTACTTTCACAACTGTAACTTTCTTGTCCAGGAATAGTAAGCTTTGAGAAATACCTGAAAAGAAAGATCCTAAAATTGTAAAAAGTATTGAACACATTCATTTTTATGCCGGGAAACATATTTATAATGACATGTCATTTACACCATGTCTTGGTGACAACCCAAGAAATTCATAATTACAACAAAATTAAAACAAATCCAGGAATGAAGGTCTTTGTAAGAAAGACAAATGCGGTTCAGAAAGATTGGAAATTATCTGTTGCAGCTTTACAAATAAAATAGAAAGCTGCAGCAGTCACGATCACTACACAAGACTTCACTGCTGAAGAAAACATGCTGGTGTGAGACTGTGTTTCGTTATGTGGTACTGATAGAAATTTACTAAAATTGTGGCGATTTCAGATATTTCTACAATAAAAAAATAGCCTGTTAACTGGTTTCAGAGAAAGAAAATAAAGCATCTAGAATCATCCAGTTGAAAACCTTTTGGAAAAACTGAAGATCAGATGGCATTGAATAGACCAGAAGCACACCTGAGCAAAACATCAGACTGGTTTCAGTATACAGCCTTAATTACTTCATTAAGCTTCCTGAATTCTTATTATACTGATTTCAGAACCAATTTGATGATTTGGTTGTATGAGTTACTTGATTTAAAAAGAAAACTTGATGGATTTAAGATTTGTTTAGTTCCCTGTAATTCCCTGTACAATATTTTTTAACAGTACACCCTTGAGTCTTTAAATCATTTAAGCACATTATTGCAAAGCTAATTCATATGTAAATATTCAGAAAATGCAACTGCCTGGTATTGCTCGGGTTTTTTGGTGACCATGACTACTTTCAGGAGATTCTGGCCGGTCTGGCCTCATATCTTATATCTTAGTTTTTGTTTACTACAGATCAATATCCTTTGCCACAGGCATATATGCAGCAATAGAGCTCCCCACCGACTAACTAATATCCGTTTTGGGAGTAAAGCAAACAAAAGAAGTCTGTGAATGGTTAGGATTTTCTGTCAGCCACTATGTTATTATCATTCTTACATATGGACATCAGCATCGAAGCAGTTTGGAGACGGAGCTGAATATATATTTTTTCCACATTTCAAACACACACCGGTCAGCGAGGTGGTCAACGTCGTGTTGAACTGCCCGCATCTTTCCACCAAAATGTTCTGCATACATATGGCTCGGAATGATTGGAAAAGCACAATGTGTATCATCTTGCATATGCCCCATGCCCCGCACTGGAGCTCATGCCTGGAGTAAGTGTATTGTCTGTTCCCCCTGACCATAATCCACTGCTTGTTTTTCCCCTTCTTTGTCTTCAAAATGTTTGAGGTCGTAAATAACTTGAGAAATACTTGTGTTTCGATTCCAGTCGCACACAGCAAGGCTATTGTATCCCCTACTCATTTATGCTGCAGGCATGAATCAAAACAGCTTGCCTTGAAAGCCATATTCCTAATGAGCCATGCTTTTTGAATTATCTTTGGAAAACCAGAGGGATGGCACAAAAGCCATGTTTGGATAAGCCAGATTTTTATCTCAAGCTTGACTACAGATGAAGATTGATCCTTCACAGGACATGTTTATGATTATCTGCCAGTCTTTTAAGAAATACTTTCATCTGTTTAGTTATGGTGGGTATTTGTGGTGAGGCACAACCTGCAGCATAAAGATCACTAACAGAATATGTGATCATTGCAGAACCAGCATGGCGCATTCTTTGCTGTGCAACTAGAACTTGGCTAAAAGTACGCTTCAACTTTTGTTGTTCAAATTCAATCAATCATTATTCCGCAGAATAGGCAGTTGTGTTTTTAAAAAAACAATACAGTGCAAAAGTTTTAGGTGATCCATCATTTCTTTTTCTATTTTACTTTCAAAGAGCCAGACATTTATGTAATGTAAATTCACTTGAGCAGTATGTTTTTTCATGTTTTCTAAAGGTTTTTCAAAAATGTCCCTTACTTTGACGGCTTTTCCACTCATTTTCAGTCTAATAACGGATCACTTCCAAAGAGAAGTTGGTTTTTTGTTTGAGTGCTTTAACGCTCACCTGCAAATCATTTTAGTCATAAAAACCCCTAAACTTCACAAATTAATTTATCACAAATGAAGGTGATCTATAGCTTTATGCCTCTTTGTTTAAGAAAGAACAAATCTTTAACTTTGCTCTGTGGTGCTAACTAAAATATTCAGATTCTTTACTTTAGCATATTTAACTTACCACAACAAACTAAAATATCTTCACACCATCAGAAAGATGTCCCATAAAAAGAAAATCTTATAATTGCTTTCGAAACAAATCCGAGCGCTTGTTACCACGACAGCAAATGAAACGTTGTTACAAACTCCAGGACAATATAAGCTTGATGGACGTTTGGTAAAAACACAAGGAAGGGAACAAAAGGAATGCTGGTTTGGTTGATGTTAGTCAGCATGACTTTGTGTTTTGCCCCAGAAATGAGGACATAAAAGTGCTAAAAATCAAAACAGAGCAATGGACACTATCTCTCAAAATGATCTAACACACTATAGAGCATTAAATTCACTGAAATTTAAAAACCATGTTTGGTGGACTAAAAATCACAGAGTCTGGATCCAGATCAAAGTTAATATCCAGCTGTAAATCATTGCTTCCTTCCAACACAGAGAAGTCCCGATGCTTTCTCATTTTATTCACTTTTCATGGCTAGATTACATCTGTCATGAAGTTTGTGGAAAACAAAAGAGAACTATTTTACTGAATTCCCAATAAACGTCTCAATGTCTTATTTTTTTGAAGCACAATAGGGAATAACACATGAGCTTACCAGTACATAGAAATTTAGACATTTTATAATAAAATATTGACAAATTCTTTGTCTCTGACTTCGAGTACTTCAAGTACTATTCTTGACATTTTTTTCCATGTCTTAAAATCTTATTTAAAAAAGTTAATTTATATTTCAAACAGAACCATCTATCCTTCAGTGTGTGTGGCACCCATATGTGTTTTGTTCAGTCTGGATGGGAAAGTGCTTTGGATCCTGTTTAGTTGACGACATACAAACCATAGCAGTAAAGCCGAACCTGTTATGCTGAGTCTTAAGTGGATACTTACAAAATCTGTTCAAACTGAGCAACAAAACATTTCTGGGACACTTAGAATGTGTTTTTTTTTTTTTGCTAAGGTTTTGTGCTGCTTTAGTGTTTTTCTTGGTAAAAGATAAAATATGAAGACTCTTGTCCTGCTACCAGACCCAACAATCCAGGCATATCAGGAACAAAGCAGACATTAGGAACCCACAACTACCAGAAAACTCCTCGAGCTCTGTTGAAGTTGCGTCATGGGGTTTCATCAATTTTAAAAAGACTCCCAGTTCTTTTTTTATTGTCGTCACTGCACCATATTTTCTCTCCTTGATGATTACTGTGTTCCACGTTATGCCTCGGAAACGGTCTAAAATATTGTCCTGACTGAGACGTTTTGATACTTGGAAGCCCCTAGCAGACTTTGACTGGTTTGCCATGAGATGCAAAAAAAAAATGAAACGTCAGAAAAAGAACAAGAACAGCTGAACTTCATTTGGGTTTCATCAAAGGCTCTTTAGACAAAGAACTCCTATGAGTTTGAATGTGGTGTTTAATTGTGAACACAACCACACCCCCAGTTTTAAGTGGGTTGCGGCTTTATTACATTATTTTGTCTTTCCTCTTCAAAGATTTCAGTTTAGTTTTCAAGTGAAGTTTTAGGTCAAATCAGATATTAATATTGTTTAATATTTTATTATCGTTCCACCATGGCACTTTGCCTTTGTTGTGAAGACTTTTAACACCTATAATAGTTAGGTAACATAACCCATACACTACCCACATGAACACATAAATCAACTCACTCATCATGATATTTGCACATTACTAAGGGAGTGAAAGTTTTTCCCACATTCCACAGTTTGTGGCAGAAGTGTAAAAGTACAAGCTGGATTGTTGTCTTCTTCCGCCTTTTACTGTTTTTGTTCATCCAGTGTTTGAGTGTCATGTGTGTGTTGTGCCATGTTCTGCTGTTTGTCCCTTTAGGGATTGCCTGGTCTCCCTACGCTGGCTGCTTTGCACAGCAATCAGATCCTGACTGTCAAGGTTTGTCTGTGGTGGTGCTGCCTAGCTGCTGGGTCCGACCCCCTCTGAAGCACACACTGGCCGCTTTCCTTAAAGTGTGATAATTGAGTATTTACCGGAAAACCTCTGTCAATTGTTTCTTCTTTACCCTACTGTTGCTAGCAGGCTCTCACTTAACAGATTTTTGCTCTGTTTTACATCCCAGATCCTCCGCTGAGAGCAAAGGTGGCCTTTTACAACCTTGTAATATGTAGTTAACTGGAACAGACTCTGTATCCTGAAACCAAGACATGGTTTGGCTCATGTCTATTGACCCTGAAATGAATGGAAGGAGCTCTAAAGGGAATACTCAATTATGACCAAAAGTGGCAAAATGTTTTTTTTATAGCTCATGCTCATGGTTCACCACACAGCCTCCTAACAACCAATTTGGCCTTTATAATTGTTTCATCGATGGCAACGCCAATGGGCGCAAGCAGAATAATGCAAGCATTGACAGACAGAAGGTACGAAATCAACCTCAACCCAGAAGACTGACCCGTGCTGGTTTCAGTGTGTGTAGCTCACAGGGTTTGACTTGGCAGCAGGCACGATGATGATGGCGGTGCTTTCACAGACAAGGAGCGATTCCCATTTTTCCAAGGGGCGAGGGAACTGTGAACCCACTTCACACTCCAGAGGTGGTAATTAGGGGTTGCAGCTCCAAAAGGCAACCCCAGACTTCCCAAGCGAGTCACCTCAGTGTTGGGAAAGTGTGGATTCACCTCCATCTGTGAAGGCGCTGTTTGAGGGGGGTTTCATGAACATGGGACTCCCTAACAAAATCTGTTTCTCTTTGCATTTGGCTTCTCATCCTCCTCCTCCTGCTGCTTCTTCTTCTGGGACCTTCTCCTTCTTCAACCTTCTCTCACCTCTGAACTCCGACTTCTTGACCTCACACACCTGCTCAGATGGTCTTCCCAAAGATCAATCATGGCTTTCTTTCCGCTGACCAGCAGCTCATAAAGCGTCGGCTCATTAAGGTAGTGGGTGTGTCCTCTCTCTTGTCTCTTTGTCCACTGTGCCAAGTGTCACCAATTCACTTCTCTCTGTCTAGAGCATGTCAACCTGTAGATTCTGTCATATGCACCCTTATGCTCCCTTCTGTCATTGCAAAAGTTAATAATAAAATGTCTTTATAGATGCTTGGTAAAGTAAAATGAATTACTGTCTTGCAATTAATAAAAGGAATTTCCCCGCAAGTTAAATTGCTGGATATTTCCTCCGAATTTCTCCTGATTGAGTAAAATTATGGACCACACATTTTCAGTATTTCTCTCTTGATTATTGAAACTCTTCGCTGACAAATGTGACCTTTGTCAGACAGCGCTTAATGCATAACCCACTTAAGATTGCATGCATCTCAAGTAAGTTATGCAAATTTTAAACCATTACATTAAACATCCTCGTTGTTGTTTTATGCTAGCTCCAAAATGAAATCTTTCCTCCTAATTACAAATGGAGGTAGGCCATAGCCACCCACGAGATCATTACACCATTTCCTTTGTCATCATTTAACTGCAGTTGCTTCTGTCTTGGTTGATCCAACAATATCACATAGAACTGATGTGGAAATGTTTTATTTTTGTCATACAGGGAGATCAAGGCCAGGCAGGACCACCCGGGCCTCCAGGCCCACCTGGCCCTCCAGGACCAAGGGGCCCTCCAGGGGACACTGGAAAGGATGGGCCCAGAGGTTTGCCAGGTCTACCAGTGAGTATTGAGTTTTGATAAGAAGAGAAGCTTGACAAACTTGAACTAAATACAGTTTTGCAACCCTAAGTGACCCCTTTTTTAATTATTTATGTTGGAAGACAAGACTTTCCAAAGACCTTTTCGATGTAAAAGGTGGAGAAATAATGGCAAGACTGTTTTTTTAGGATAAACTTGTAATTTGAGGACTGTAGAAGATTTTCCCCATTAAAGTACTTTTACAAATACAAAATCCGCTGCAAACTGTAGTAACATTTAATCCAATTTATCACTCTTGGTGTCTGTTGATTATCCATGTTGATATCATTGATAAATCATCTCAATAAGTTAAAAATGTACAACTGTCATATTGGCAAAAATGCAAAAACCTTTGGAATGCCTGGTATGATAACTGTTTCCATGACAAATGTGAAAAAAATTGGCACTGCATCTTTACATACCAGGAATGAGTTATGGGTCTTCTTAAAGGAACTGCTAGAATTTGGTCACTGGTCTCTGAGGATTACTGGAATTGCTTTATATTACTTCTTCATCCTCCATTTTGAATTTCAACACGTTAACAATGCATGAAAAGATTTAAAATACATATCTTTTTTATTGAAGTATCACAAACAGTGAAAATATTGAAAAAAAAAACTCATTTAGTGTAAGAAGAAAACAGAAGTTAATGAACATTTACTATCTGCGTTGATGACCTTGAAAACATCAATTTTGTGCCTGGTGAACCATTTTTGTGTTGATTTGACCAGATGCTTGTTGTTATTATCCAGTTGTTTTGTGCGTTCTGGCAAAGGTCCCCCAGTATTTTTAAGAAAGTTCCCAGTTGGAGTTCCATTGGAGCAGCCCACAGCATCACATTGTCTCCACCTTATTTAAGAGTGGGCAAGAGAAGCTTTATCACCATTTCGTCCCTTTGTTTCACACCAGACCCACATGCAGTGTCTGTTAGAAGAAAGGACAATCTTTTGGTGCAGTTTACACAGAATTGCGTTTTATTGAAGCCAAAACATTTTTGTTGTGATCCAACTGGTCATTTACACTTCACCAGTGATTGGAGTCTCTGACACTGGGACTTTTTCACACAGATATCAGTAAAAAAAAAATATTGTGTTTCCTTTATATATATATATGTGTGTGTATGCGTGTTTTAGATGAGCACTAAAATCCCAGTGCCACATTGTGCCCTAGCATGACGATGACACTGGACTCAAGGTGTCCCGATACCCTGGTACTCTGATCTAAGCGGTGATGCAGTGCCGTATAAACATGGAACTTTTCCCCAATCAACATCCGAAAATACTAGCAGTTTCCAGACAGTGGTCTCGTATAAACAAAGCCTTCGTCTCATCTAATCATAGGACTTGGTTCCAATTAAAACTCCAGCACAGATTAGCAAATTGCACATGGTTAAGTTTTTATGGAAACTCTTTTGTGGAATGCTTTTGACACGAATGGTTGGCATTAAGAAAATATTTAAATGAATGGTATCTGACCTCGTTGATACCACTCTTTGTTGGAGCTTTGAGATTTTCTATTTTACTTCTATCTGTGCATGTTGGCAAAATAAGTTTGGGACCTCGTCTAACCCTATTGGTCAAAGTTCAGTCCATTCATCTATCTTCATGCTTATCCTTGCAGGGTCAAGGGGATGCTTGTGCCTGTCTCCGAAGGGCATTGGCTGAGAGCCAAGACACACCCTGGACAGGTCACAAGTTCATCACAGGGCAATACAGAGACACACAGTACAAACAACCACCACATAAGGACAATTTAGTGAGACCAGTTAACCTAAGAGTTATGTTTTACATTGTGGGAGAAGCCAGCGCAACAACCATAAGGGACCCACAGACAATCTCCATGCAGAAAGACCCGAGGGTGCCAGTGTGCAGCCCCCAATCAATGTTCTAGTTCAAACAGTTCCAGTTTGATCATTGCTTTGACTGTCGATATGGGCAAGTTGAGTCAAGCAGCTTTTTTTCTGAAGCTGTTTCCTGACTTATTGAGATAAACACACATCTGCCTTACTTGAATGGAACTCTTTTCTTTCCCATTCGGAAGTGCAACTATGAGAAATCTGCCTTTCTCTCACGTCATAGTTAAAACCGATTTGTTGTGAAAGAGAATGTCATGGGTAACAATTTTCTGAAAATTTAGTTAATGTCAATAGAAGTGATGCAAAACAAATGTTTTAAATGCTTCTGCTATATTTATTTCATGGCAAATGTTAGACTTGTCAATTAGTCATGTACCAATAATTTGTAAGCAATTATGTCATAATAATTAATATGAAATTAATGCATTAAAATTCAAGGCTGGATTGTTCTAAAATATTGAGTGTGAGATTATGTTACTGCACTGCATGATGAATTTACTCATTATTGAGGCTTCTTGCATGGAAGTTAATATATATTATTTTGCAACAGCTTCAAAACTACAAAATTGTTTCTTTAAAGTGACCGATTGTCCTGAATATTTGAGACATCCTTATATTTGTGCCTGAACTCTCACCTTAGTGCCAAAGTGGGAATAGATTAATTGGTAAAGGCAAAAGCCGAAATGGGGTTTCACAGTCACTGAAATGTTTTTGGGTCTACAAAATTTTGTCCTCTTTTCTTTGAAAATGCTACACTTTTTCCTCTTGTAGTCACATCTAATTTGACTTGACCTAGTATTCAAAGGAAAAAAATGCTAGTGGAAACCTATTTAATGAAGAGTGGAAGAACTATTTGGCCTTTTTTTCCCTCAAATATTTATAGATAAAAATTAATCCCCTGGGGGAATAGTTTTATTATTACACGGATTTATGTTGGCTCAAATGTTTGCAACATAACGTTTTTCATTTCTTCAGGCCCACCACTGGCTTTTAGCTAATTTACATGAACTGGGAGAGAAAAAAGAAACAGAAAAAAGGTTGTCAGTTATTTTCAGCCATAAAACCTTCTGCAAGCTCCAGCTGATCTTTATTGTGTTGGCAGGAATCTCTGTAGGAGCTCAAATATATTAAGAATTGTTTATGAGGTTATTTCCAACTTTTTTATGGTGATTGTTTTCAGTTCTTCCTGCAGAAGTTGCTAAACTTGTTAGGTTTTTTTTCTCAAGAAGTTACACTTCTCCTTCTAGGTGTCTGTACTTTTCTTTGCTTTTGACTGTTGTGAATAACTTAGAAGAAAGGCAATACGTTTATAAGTATATAAAATTGAAATGACATGTTTTTTAGTGATGTACTAAAATCTGAATGAGGTTTGGACCAAAATGAGGTTGTCAGGTAGAGACATGGAACACGGCAGGTGGTAGGGCAAAACAAAATCCTCCCAGGCAACATAAACTCTGATTAGTATAATACTATTCTACATATTAACAATCAGCAGATTGGGTCCATTTGCATTCACAAACCTATTCAAATAAAATTCAAACTTAATTGATGTGTTTGGATCTTTTTTGAACAAGTCCACACTCTCATTTTGACTGTCTTTATTTTTTATTTTTTCCAGGGTGATCCAGGCCAGCCAGGAGAAATTGGACTCATGGTGAGAAATTATTTTACCTTCTAAATTGACGTTTTTTTCATTCGATTGGTGCAGCACCCTATCTCGGATAACTTGGGAAAGGAGCGTCAGCAATTAGTTTGAATTGTTGTATCTATTGTGGCAATGTAATAATTGGCCATTCGAGCTCACCCAGGAAGCTCATAATGCAGCAATTGATGAGATTGTTGCATTAACTTTATTAGTGAGGATGAGGAAGCCACATATTTATTTCAATATCGTATCAAGAGCTGAACAAGATTTTTATAATGGCGTATTTGAATGGATACGCCAAGACAACCAATTTGTGGACATGCTAAGGTTTAGGTATTATAATACAGCAACATTTGATGTGTTGCATATCAATATGTTCAGGGAAACATGATTTTAACACGAGGATGACACTCAACATCTTTGCGTGTAATTCAAGCGTAGAGTGTATTTTTGCTATGTAAGAGTTTTCATTGTGACATCACATGGGTTTGATGTTGATTTTGATTGCAATTTTTTTTTTAGGCAGGGACTTAAGGATACATTTTATGATAACTGATAAAACACTTTCTCTCACAAACCCAAACGTATAGGACAAGCCACTAGCGGGCGGACAGCAGGTGGAAGTAGCTTGAAGCTAATAAAGCTTTTGATTAAAGTCTCCTCTTAAAAGCTACATTGAAAAGGTCAAAACAAGCCCTGGAAAAAAAAAATCAAAGGAGACCAATTGACTAAAATCACATGCTGCTGTCAGATTTTTACAGAAGCAGAAACAGGAAACGATCAGAGAAAAAGAGTCTTTTCATCTAGAAACCCATTACCAATGACCTTTCAGTACACTCGACAATGACGCTTCAATGTTTTTTTTGTTCCCAAATGTTTTGTTCCCATCGCCACTCAAACAGTAGCTGTGAAAGTAGCAACGTTTTTGTGAGTCATGAGAGTAAAACGGCAGAGTGGAGGGTCCCAGGTGTTCCTCCATAAGCCTGAGGTGCTTTTACAGCTGTTTATGACAGCAACAGCTGGAGTTCGTCTCCAAAATGTCCTCTCATAGAGCTCTGCGTAGAAGTAATCACTTCTCGCTGTGACTCTTTAAATAAAGTGCAGCATTTCATGAGTAAATACGCTGCATGACACTGATATACTTTTAACAAGGGAGAAAGTCATCATCGGGAAACAAGCCCCCTTGATCTAAATCAGCAGGAGATCAGCACAAACCAGCTGTTGTTGGGGGCGGGGGAAATGGATGCGACAGAACATTTACGATGTCAGAAGGTCTGTTTTTTTTTTCTTTTTTTAAAGCCAAATCCTGATTGCTTGCTTCTATGTTAGGTCGATTAGTAAAAGCTGAGATTTTTGGATTGGTCGAGATATTCCTGTTGTAGGTTGTGTGTGTTTTGACTCAAGAGAGAACATAAAAGCGAACTTGTCACTCAGGAACAAACCTGCCATCTATCCTTAAATCTGAGGAATTATATGTTCTCAAATGTTTGGAGCTGAGGATTAAAAGGGTCCTCTCCCATTCCTCTCAAGGTTCAAGATTCCATAAACATTTTGCCTCTCCCGCAGTGTTCCAGGAGCAAGACACTTAATTTGACATGGCAAACCGTTTTTAATGTAGATGCCCTTGTTAAAGAGGCAGAAGTAGAATCCAGAGTTTTCCAGCAGCCTTTTACGACATGTGGTGCTGGTTAGGGGGATTAAACTCTTGTGGTGCAACAAGGAGAAGGAGAAAGAGGAGAAGGAGGAGGAGGGGAGGTGGCAAGATGACAAAGGAGAAAAAAAAAATATTTTTAGAACTCAAAAGGTTGGAAATGATCAGTGCCTCCAACCTTTTCTGGAGTAAATTAAAAAAGGTGTTCTCTCTATGAAGGTGGCTTTCAGTCTTTGCACAAAGTATTTATTTGGATCGTGACTTTGCTCGGAAAAGATTAAATGAGACTGCAGAGACTCCATCCATAACTGGAAAAACGCCCCCCCAATTTCATTGTGGTGTTATTTCCAGTTTATTTCCCCTTTTCATCCTGTATCTTTCCAAAGTTTACCCACATTGCTCCAGTAACTTTTCCAATATGCCTTTTTTTAAAGTAAGGACACACTCATTATTTGTTGATGTCTTTAACTACGTTTTTATTTAATGTTCATCCACAGCAAGAACAGAGATGTTTTGGAATTGCTTGGAAACAAACCAGTGCATCTGGCAAATATTCAGTCAACCACTTTCGGATGTTTGCACAGCACAGCCATGTTTAAACTATTCATCTGTGTTTTTATTAACTTGAACCTACAAAAGCACAATATTAGTTTTTGAAGCAGATTGCTCTGCGTTTATTGAAATTACAACAACGTATTTAAAAAAGCATTAAAGTAGCAGATTTTATTGTAAGTTATTCACGTGTATAAAAACAAAGCCAAGTAATTTGCATGTCTTTTAAATATAAACCTGTGGCTTGAAAGTTACAGACATATAATTCATCAGGCCATTAATAGTTACAAATGTAAAATTTGTTGAAATAAACATCCGCTCGGTGTAATTTATAGCCCGTCACGACCAAAATCTGTCTTGAAGTGTGAGTTATGGACTATTGAATAACCTGAAATGATGTCCAGAAATGAGTTGAAACTGCCATTTCACGCTTGTTTGAATTTTAAATGGCCTATTAGCACCGTTTGTTTTTTTCCACCCATTCGGACCACAACTTCCTGTCCGTGTTATTTTATTAATTCGAAGCTGAAAACTTTAGGAACCGCCAATTTAACATCTTGGACTAACCAAAATATACAGAGTGACTGGCCTTGCAGCCCTTGGAGAAATCGCAGTCTACTGCATTACCATAACATTGTACCCAGGACTGTCATCGCATCATCATCAAGCTCTGCAACCTGGAGTCTAATGAAACTCCAAATTTCAAATCTTTACCGCAGATTAGGTTGTTTTTTTCTTTAAACAGCAATTTATTTAACAGTCACTATACAATCAGGTCATTACTTAAATTTTCAGTGTTGGTTGACCAAACAGACTATATGATTCTTTCAGTCAGTCGTACCAGTATGGCGAGTGTTACTGAAAAGCCTGAGAAAATAAACGCCTTGCAGATAGTAGAAGTAATAAAAAACACAGGTTTAAAGTTTCTGTTTTAATCTCAAATTCATGACCATTTTATTAGTTTCACCCATTGTGATTAAGACAGAAGACAGCTTCCTCAAGTTCAAACAAAGCATCAAAGTTGGTAGGAAATGGGATTTAAGTAAAATATGGCATGCTTGTTGGTGCTAAGCAGGTTGGTATAAGTATGTTACAAACTGCTAATCTACTTTGTATTTGTACTCAAGTCAACTGTCTTGTTTACAGAGAATGGACAAAGAAAGCTAATATATCCAGTGTTCAATGAATGAAAATGTCCAACATTCATATAAGAACCAACAGACCAGAAAGGTTTGGCGTGACAGACATCCAAACTGCTTGTTAAAAACAAAATATGTAGAAAACCAAATCTGAACGCACACTAACCTTCAAGCAGGTGAGATACAGCAGCAGGATATCATACCTGGTGTCATTCTCTTCTGCTAGGAAGGATCAAATTACCGCCTAAAATTGAGACAGGCTGGACCAGGCAATATTTTTTACAGTCTGTCGTTGACCAACTGTGTGAGAGTCAGAATTTGGCAGTAACAACTTAAAAGCTTCAGCCCTGCCTTTTCTCAGTCGATTAAGTTGTTTTTGTTGGTGGAGGATTTCTTGGCAGACTTTAGGATTTGTGGAATTGAGCCCGTTTGTACCAACTGAACACAATTTAAATCACAATTTAACAGAGTACTATGGCTCACTCACATGCACATCTTTTGATGGCTATTTCTAGCAGGATAACTCCCCATTTTATTTTACTTAAATAACCTCAAACTGCTGTCTTGGAAATGTTAATGAGTTTATTGTACCCACTCTCACCAGATCTCAATGCAGTAAAGCACCTGGAGATGTGGTTGAGCATTTTACATTAAAGATTTGTAACCAAAAAAATCTGATGCAGCTCCAGGAAGATGATGTCACAGTTGACCAAAATCTTCAAGAAATGTTTCAGACACCTTGCTGAATCTAACCTCCAAAAAATGAAGGTAGCTATATATGCAAAAACAGGTCCAATTTAGTAATAACGAGGTGTACAAAATCTAAGTCAATCTCAAAACACATTAAGACCGACTGAGTCACCCATGCTTTCAATAGGATCTTTGAGGTGCCTGCGTAAGATCAGCCCAAATTAGTTTTCCAGTGCTGCTGGAGTTGAGTGTGGGAAATGACCTGGGGACTTCCTTATTGTTGGTCAATTCCAAACCCATGAATGGACATTCAGTGATTTGTATGTGTGCTCAGATACTCAGCTACAATAACCATCTTGTTGTACGTTTTCTGATTATCCAACGCTGACGCTAAGGTGTAAAATGTGGGGTATACACAATGATAACGTATTCTGTCACACAAAGTTTCATTTACCTTAGATTGTTGCCACTACTTACCAATGTTTGAGCTTTAGTTTGATTTGAAAAGAGTCCGGACTTCCTTGAGGGCACTTGACTTTCTGAAAAAAGTCTTTCCTGCTTCTAACTTTTGAGTGCTCTCAGATGTAGCCAAGTTAATTAGCTCTCAGGCAAGTGGCACATGCTCTCACATTCCTATTGGGTCATAAAGATGTTTACCAAACCCTTCTGAGGTTAGAAAATAAAGGCATTTAAAAGCAAGTATGAGGAAAACCTTTTTTTCTTGGCTGATAGAATAGTGAAAGTTCTTTACTGAGGTTTTTGTTATAGGTGTAGATGGAATGCACAATAAAAGACCTGCCACTGAGCAGCCCTTGCTTGTGTATTTGAGAACTTGCTGCTAACAAGACTTTAAAGGGCAAATGTTGGGGAAAATGTAAATGGGAAAATGGAATACCTTGAGCTATGTGATGAACGCTTTGCTTCATCAACAAAAACTTAACAAGAAGTGATCCAACAAGCAGCTCCTTCCCAGAAAGCCAATCATTATTAAGTCATATCTTGGCTCCAACGAAACCATGCTTGATTTGCACAGACATTTGCACTGACAGACAAACTTTTCAACTTTAATATGACCTCATTGGGAACTTTTACTGGTAATGCAGGCACACCACAGTTTTAAACTCAACTGGGGACCATATCTCTTTGACATTTATATAGCATCAATGCAAACAAGAGCTGAAAAGTTGCTGCCATGGAGGGCTCTTAGGGCAGAGATTCTGTCTGGCCACAAACAAAGCGCCAAATGGCAACAGTTTCTCAAACCCAAAGCAAGAAGAAAACTGGCTGATAAGGCGTGCCATAGCAGCCAGAACTAAAAGGTGTTAATGAACTGCTTTGATACAGCAAGAATCCAGTCTTCTTTTCACAACATTTGTCCATGGAGTTTAGAAGGCTGACGATCTAACGTGGTTTCCAATTTAATTGCAATGAAAGGCACTATTCCAGATTCATCCATCATCGCTTTGCATCTCAGAAACGAGGCGCCTTTTCTTTTTTGCACTTTCTAACATTTTATCTTTGTAAGGCTTTCCAAATATTGGCCCATTTAGGTAATGAACTTGTCTTGGACTGCGCTGGGAGCGTGGGGTGGCCAAGACGAGGCACGTTTTTCTTGTTTCTAAAATGAACAAAGGTGGCGATTGTCATAAAAGATAAAACCCTTAGTTATCCATTGTCTCATTTGGGATTCACATTTAGGGTGCAGTTCCATGACAAGAAAGGCTCAGAGTGAGGCGATTTTCAGTTCTTGCCGGAGAAATTAAACAAGGGGCTGATTGTGATTCAGTTCTGCTTGAAGGGCGTATGCGCACTGCATGAAATCCTCCCTTGAGTTTGCCAGGCTCACTGCTGGCTTCGAGGATTGCATTATTTCATCTGACCAGGACTCTTTTTCTTTTTTCTTTGCTGTATTTTTCTTCCACTCAGTCTCTCTCTGTCTCTCTCATCTTTTACAGGGACTTGAGGGGCCTCAAGGGCCAAAGGTGAGTTACAGAAAATCACTGACTTTTAATTTAGTTGCTCCATGTCAACTGTTTGGGATTCCTCTCCGTGGTTATGTCATCCCGCTTTCCGATTGGCTACCTGTCACATTCAGCAGACCCTAGTTGGAGGACATCACATATGCTGTGATATCAGACCAAGCCAATCCAACATGTTGAATACCCCTGAATTTATATCGGAGCGATCCAGGCATTCTACCGACTGGACACGATGAGTCTTAATACCCCACACACAGCAGGATGATCTGTTACGATTATCGTAAGCGATAGTCATACAATGCCAAACGTTCTAGGATAGTTGAAAGGGAAAAATCATGACAAATAAATCGCGCCTCGTGAACTAGGCTTTAGGAAACCCGAATTCTGACGTAAACCAAAAGGTATTGTCTTTTGGCTTAAGAATGTTGTTTTTGGTTCGATAGTAACTAGATATAAGTCACTGAAGTGACAGCAAAATATGTAGGGTGTTTAACATATTTACCTGGAGATTAGAGACACGAGTGCCACAGTCAGGTCAAGTAAACATGAGGAGAAGAGGGCAAGAGAAACAAATGAGAGATGGAGAACAGAGAACCTGGAGTTAAGTGCTGCGATACAGACTGATGTGGGAAACAGATGGAGGCTGAATCCAGCCATCAGGTAGCTGCCAGTGTTTGTTCAGTGTAACCCAATCAGACGTTTCCTGTCTGCGCCGTCATCTGTCGACGAGGCGGTAGTGTGTACGTGAAAGGGTCAAAGATGATCCACTGCCGCGTTAATGACTCATAATCCAGCCCCGAGGCTACTCAATTAGATCTTCTGCTGTTTGGCAAAGAGGCCACATGGAGACCCTGATCAAGTTTCATCACCTCAGTGGCTGTTTGGTTGCCATTAAATGATAAAACACCTGGCATGAGTCATGTTTACTCAGTATTTTTAAGGGGAAAAAAATTCAAAGACTCCGTTTTATTGTTCCTGCTCTCCAAAATCTACATCTAAAATAACAATAAGGCATTTTTAGCAGAAATTTGCTAACATAAAACCAAGTTATTAGATGGGGAAGGGACTTCATAAAGAAATAAATAACAGTTTAGTAAGTAAAAATACAGATGTACTGACTTTCCTCACAGCCAGAACTGCAGACAAGATCGATCTAACAAAGCTAATAACCCACAAACATTTGTACTTTTCATGTCTTTATTAAAACAAATTGAGTAATCACTCAAACAGACAGCAGGCTGGAAAACGTATTTGACTTTATTGGAAACTCCCTCAGACGTTTCCTGTTACAGCTGATGAGACTTTCTCAGTCAGGAGGAGAAATTTCGGAGGATTCCTCCTGACAGAGCTGTTTGAGTTCATTCATTTTTCAAAAGGGTATCGATTTGAAAGAACTCTCTGAACACTAAGCCGCACCATCTAAATTAGGAAGTCTGACTTGGCAGCTTTAGATCATTGTTTGAAGTTTTACTGTGTAGGAGTGAAATGAATCTAAGGGTATGTTTTAGTTGTGACCTGCAGGGCCATTAATTGAATTTAGTTTGAACCTTTCTTGCGAGACATGACTGAATCCTCTGTATTGCAATTTATTGTGCGAAAGATTTCTTCTCAGATATTCTAAAACAACCAACTCGAAGCAGCAAAGCATCCTCAAATTGAAGCGTGTTTGGAGGATCCCAAAACACGCTTCTAAAAGCCTCTTGCTTTTAGAAAACAAAACATTTTAGAAAAGATTTAGGTTAAGCAGTGATGTGTTACTTTGATATCTGAGCCTCTACGGACGCTTTTAGCTTGGAGAATCCCTCCTCTTTCCACTTTGGCCGTCATCATGAAGTAGTAATGAACTCATAAAAACCAATCTATCTGAGGATGAGCATCTCAACATCCAGCACTTAACACCTGAGTACAAGCAGCTGTTGAAGATGTCCACATAGCGGTTCGGTTATTTTGGCAATGCCTGTAGACGATTAAAAAAAAGAAAAATACAACTGACTGTACATTATTGGGTTTATTTTTGACTAAAACAAACCTTATTGGTATTAGAAGAATCCAAAGACTTTTAAAGAAATTGGATTTATTGATTAAAAATATGTATAAACTAATAAGTGTTTGTTTTTATTTGCTAGGGTTCACTGGGGCCTCCGGGTATCCCTGGAACAGACGGACTAAAGGTGAGCACTCTAATTTAAAGAAACAGTACACCATCTGATGATCTAAAGTATTTTTTCTTTCTATATTCTCATTACGCTATTGCTTATCTGCCTTACGGTTTAGAAAAGTGCACAACACTAAGTACTCTTATAAGCATTCTGCACTTTCTAAATGGGTCACAACTTACACAAATGTTCATATTGTGTACATGTCCAATAGCAAATGGTTTTTAGTGCAAAGACAAAAAATAAGATTTTTTTTCTTGTTACATAACTAAGAAATTTAACTAAAAAGGATCTCAGATTTTGGGGGCTTTATCTTTTGAGGTGCTTCAGTCATGCTGATAATCTTCATTTGAATTTTGATGTTGTTGTTAACTTTTTCACAGCTTCTTGGCACAAAGTGAATATATCAGTTTTTGGTTGAATTTGTAGTCTTTGTAAACAAATATTTTCAAAAAAATTAGAAATATTGAGTCAGTATAGCTCAGGCCTTATTGGTTACAGAAATGTATGCACTCTACTGCAATAAAAAAAAATTCTAAAAATGCGTTGGAAAAGACAATAATAACAATAAAACATAATTTTTCAACCACTTTTCGGCAGTCATAGACTTTGTTCAGTGCTTCAGACTTTGAGCCAAAGATGGTCACATGGGAATTAAGTATGAAAAACAAAGCAAGACAATTACGTCACTTCAGAAGTAACATTGTGCCACACATATGTAAATAATAAGGGTGTATTTTAACAACACTCAGATGTTTTACAAAGTGCAATGTTACATGGTAAGATAAGATCTAGTGTACCTTTTTATTTACCACCAACCCTGCAGTCATGTTCTGCTTTTGTTAACGGCTTTTTAAAATTGCTAGTTTTGTTTCAATAATGTGTAGACATTATTGGATCCTACTTTTTATTGTTTCAAATTATTTTCCAAGTGTGCAAATCAGACCTAGCAAGTACGATCATAAGTACACCGCACACTAGGTTATGGAGGCCAAGGTCGTAATTTGTTTGGTTTGGTTTTTCTTTTTCACTTTATTTGAAAACAGAAAAATCTGGCGAAAATACGTTTTTTCAAGGTGTGTTACACAGCTCAGCTGCTAAATCAAATAATCTTGTTACATTTATTCTTTTTTTACAACTGACTGAAAATCTTTAAAAAAAACAAACAAACTACTATATACTTAGCCAAATGGAGCTCTACTCATGTTAGATCGGCTCTGACATGCATTTTGACAATTTCAAACCATTTTTCTATTTAGGAGAATACCCCTGGGCTGCATCTACAGGTCCTGACCACAGAGTACAGCTTTGGAAGCATGTGTATCTGTTCACACACTGAGCTAATTTCTGAAATTCACTTTCAAGTAAACGAGACACAGTGCAGGTGTTCTGGAAATCGGAGCAAAATGTAAAAATAAGAAAGGCCAATTTGTTTTCCTTTTTGCTCCAAAGTAATCGCTTAATGAATGACGTGACTTGCGCCATCTTTTTAATTTCAAGCACACATTGGTAAAGAGCAGAGGCCTGTGTGGCTATAATAGGAACCAGAGTAAAGAAGCTTCATTTCAGTGTGAAAGCCATACAAACCCTGGAAACAGCTAAAGCTGGAGGCTTAATTCCACACTTGTGAAATGAGTTGGGTTTGCCAGCAGCCATGAAATAGAACTCCAGAGCTGTGCAATCCATCTATAAAACAGTCTGTTATGGTATGTAAGTCTCATTCATGCAGAAAGTTGAACTCGGAGGCAGTCAAAGCCTGATCCTTCTGCAGTGGCAGGTTGACTGTCAGACATTGCATTGATCTGACAGCAATACTCCCCAAGAAGGATGGACAACTGGTACGGCAAACCTTATCAGCATTAGTTTTTAATCAAACTCCATCATAGTCGTGGTTCTACAGCATCGTCATTATGTCAATGACTCCCATATGTGGTCTGATGAATGATGCAGAGTCCCAGCGCTCATGAAGTATCATCACCGCTGTGGTAGCGGTGGGGCAAAGGGGGAGTTCACACATGGATCATACACGCTGATCTTTACCGCAAGGCGTCATTAAATCAAGGCATTGGGTTAAAAATGAAAACAAGGATGAGAAACAGAGGAATAACATCAACGGCTGTTTTATTTATGGTGATGAAATAAAATAGCTTCCTGCTACATATATATTTTCTTGCATTTTGATTAATTCTGAGCTACTTACCGACTGTAGTTTTAATCTAAACATTGAAGTCTTGTAATGTCTATCACTAAGCGAATTTGTCTGGTCAGAGCTGCCTGTCTGCCTTTGGAAGTAGTTACTTCTTTAGAAAAGGTAACGATATGGTAGGTTTGCAAAGGTTAGGAGGTTAACTATTTTTGGCAACAAATGCACAGAGGTTGGTTTCACTGCTTTGAGCTGCAAAGAGGTTAAGGCTTCAGACCAGATGGACTTGGTTTCCTCTTTTACTGACATCTAAGAAACAAAACAATCAATATAAAATTTTTGGTCAGCTCTTTACTGTTCATTCTTTCATTTTTGAGTAATTTTTTCTTGTACCAAACACATTCAGTATATTCAGGGTTTAGATGGTTAAGCACCATGAGCAAACATACATCCTGAGAAAATTGAGCCCCAGGGTTATTGTTCTAAAAGTCTCAAATCGAACATATATTCGATCATCTGATGACAAACTGATTAGTTGAGATTTGACTGATTTAAAGTTATTTTATCTCTAAGCAGTGAGCCTGGCTCATTATTATAGCATGAACAAGCCAACAACAGCTGCTGTACTCTGACACCTAATGCAGAGCACTGAAAGATTAAGGTGGCTGTAGAAAAATCAAAGATCAGAACTATGTCACCATCCAAGAAATGCAGAATTTCTCATTTTCATTTTCTTTTGGGTCTTCCTCTACAGTACACACATAGACTTTATAAATCTACACATAAAAGTGTGTTCGCATGGGAAAGTGCATGTGCACAATAGTGTAGATGAGCTCATCTACTCTCTCCTTTTTTGTGGCTCTTATGAGAGAAAGTTGGAAATTAGCTCTCGAGTACATCTGTGGAAAAAGGATGCTATAAATTACTGACTTTAATTAACTAGAGCTAGATAACTTAGTGTGTTGTCAAGGTGATAAGGAGGATGAGCAGGAGAAAGAGAGGTCGTAAAAGTGAATGCGAAGCAAAGCGGTTAAGTTAGAAATGTTGAGGACAAACTTTTGTTTCTTTATGCAGAAAAACGTACAAAATCCCTTTTCAAAGGCAAGATCTTAGTGACAGAGTGTGTCTGTGCAAAGTTAAAGTACAAATCTTATCACTTTTTTTCAATGATTTTGTGAATTTAAATTTCCAAATATTTCCCAAATTACTTCCAAATATTCCATATACAGGATTTTTTTTTTCAGCGTTAGTCTAGCTTTTTTTTACTTCTTGTGTTTCGACTCCCACTCTGTTTTAGGCGTGTCCTTTCGTGCAACCCTTTGAATGAAGGTGTTGTTAAAAAGCGTGCATTCTCAGCCAACACAGAGCCTTGGTAACACAACGTGACCCAAAGCCAAGACTGCTGCTAGTAGACTCTTGGATGCATGCAGCAGTTAGCAGTAGACTATTATGTCTTCAGACTTTGTTCCGATTATAAGGATGGAGGAAGTAGAACGCATAGTGCATATATGCAATTTTGTATATATCTGAAATTCAGATATATACAAGATCCAGATCTGAAATTGGAGTTGAAACTTTGATTGTACGCACACTGAATACAGCTGCTGTGTGTTGTGCTGTCAATAGGGAGATGTTGGCATCCCAGGACAGGACGGAATCCCAGGGGCCAAGGTCTGGTGCACACGTTTTCTGTGTGCTCTCATTCTTTTAACGTCACCTTTTCTTTCTGCTTGAAGTATTGCTTTACATTTTGCTCCTTGTCTGTGGCTTTTGTGTTGTGCTGCCATTTGTTTGGTCAAATCACATTTCTTACGATTATTTTTTCCATCCTTAAGCATGAAGACATCAATTTGGCCCATGTTAATTGTAAATAGTTGTATGTATTTTTGAGTTTTTGGAGATGCAGTTTGCTAAGTTTCACACATGAAAGGTTTTCTTAAAGAACATTCATAAAAGTTAGCACTTACATGTGTGACGAGGGAACAAGAAACTGTTCTATTTCTGTGATCTAGCACAAATTTAACCTCAGACACAATCCACACTTGCATAAGTGCAGCCCAGTCCAACTCCCCCGTCCACCATCCAACCTGTCCTGTGTCTAATTCACTTTTTTCTTTTCCAACAGGGTGAAAAGGGAGAACAGGGTGAAAAGGTAAAGTAATAACTCAGATCCCCACACATCCTTCTAAGTATCCCACCATGTGTTTGAATAGCCTTTGTGGTAAAATGACGGCAGCTCTGCTATTATGCTTCACAACTCCAGCTTGTATTTTCAAAGGTGACTCCCATCGAAGATCTGGCCATCAGTTAGCCAGTGATTAAATGAGTCATAAAACTGCACCCAGTTTCACCAGTTCTGGGCAATGGCCTTTACAGGTTCCAAAAAATAGCCTCCCAGAGGAAAAACCGCTTTACTTTCTCCATTCCATGAGTCTAATGGTGCCATAATTTGGTCTTATTGGAATGGGAGGTGTAAACACTGACCAAGTCAACAGTGATCAGGAAGGAACTGATGATTCAGGATGCTTTATCGACCACAAAATCGGCCCTCGGGCTCTTGTTTTTAGTTGAATCAGACTTATTCTCCGCCGCCAACATACCTGGTTCACTGTAATAATGAGGCTTTGTGGAAACAATCTCGTAGCAACCGCTGCTCTCGCGCATTACGGGTGTCCTGTGGAGAATTAGCTGGATGCAAATAACAGCTCAATGTGTAGTTGCTGAAACTGCACCCAGCAGATTCTAATGATGCAGGATCACGTCAATTCGAAAAGTCATAAGCATAAATCAGTGGTGTGAGAAGGTAGATTGGTTTCCAATGTTTCAGTTTAAAACGGTATAAAACCCACTTCCAGGCCTCTCCACACACAATACGCTGCTCTTAAAATATTCACTTCATACCAGGAGTTTCCACACCTTTTTATGAGCCTGTCTGAACAGGCTTCATCTTCTCAAGATAACTTTACTTCGACTAGTCTCAGAAAATACGGGTACTTTAGTCCTAATAGCTGTTTTTTATGAACACAAAAGCAAAAAAGAAAACATTCTTACAAGTGAAGTCTTATAAATTAATGTATTTGTTCAGCAGAATGTAATTTTAGTTAATTTCCAGAGCTGTCAGACCTCTTCGAGGGTCTGAACCTCCAAACTGAGAATTGCCTTTCTGAAGTGAAGCCAGTATTGTCAATATAAATTGTAGTCTTTGGCTTTGTTCTCCCATTCAGGAGCCAGCAAGCAAACTCGGGAAACTAAATTGTTATGATACTGACTCAATGCTCGTAGTCATTTTACTTTCTAACATATAGATTTCTTGATGGAAAAACACACATGTCAAGGAGACGAGCTGCGAGAGTAAGCTTTTTTTCTTTAGGTTATCCCTCAATAATTTACACAAAGAAACAAGCTTTGATGTCATACCCACAGACCTCCTAAGTCAGTTCATGATTTGTAGTCTAGTGGATTTATGGAAAGTGAAATGACCAGTTCACTGCCAGACCGAAAGCTTGGAGCAAATACCATAGCCTTCCGTGTTTTAGAGGAACCTAATATGTCAACATAAACTGTTGTTTTAGGGGTTTGACTATAAACCAATTAACCAGCAGATAAAATGTTCAACATTGTCAACTTTTACTTGTGATTTATTGATTCTGTGTTGCAATACTTTATTCCTATTTTCTGTCAGCCATTTTTGAAATATTTTAGCTACAACCTCCTTTGTATTAGTACAATTCATTGTGCCGTTAGATAGGATTAGCTGTTCAGAATGTCCTGTCAAAACTTTAAGTTTTAGCAGATTATTTAAATAACACAGCATTCTAAGATTAGCTGACTAGAATAGGATTTTAGCTGACATGTTAGCGAGCTAAAATGCTAAATGGAATGCTCGGTAAGCTTTTGTGCTGGACCAAAATAATCTCTACGAGGGGAAAATCCCGAGTAACAAACTCACAGATCAGCGTTAAGCAATTGCCAGTTGCTTCTGGCATTTGGCTCTAAACATCTTGGTTCTGTGAATATTTTCAGAATATTTGCTTTGGGAATGACATTTTAACCATAAACTTTATGCAATTATGTTTTTTTTGTTACATTGTTGGCAGGCAGAACTTGTATTTTTGCGCATACTTTCGCTACTGATATGTAAATCATGCAGTAAAGCTCCAGGCTATCGAACCCATTGGTTCATTAATTTAATGAGCCACTCACTATTTTTTGAGTGAATATTACAAAACAAAAAGGAGAGTTTATTCATATTGTTTAGAATGCTCACAGTAGACATGTCTTTGCTCAGGAGACGTTCACTGAAAAGCAGGAAACACAATGCCAACATGGCAGCAGAGTCCATTAAAAGATGAAAATCACTGACCTCAGACAATTTCTCCTACTGCTGGAAGCAGTCGGGGCTGTTTTCTGCAAAAACAAACACATCTACAAAATTCTGACTAATCACACAATAGTTCTGCCTGCAAAAGGAGGCGAAAGGTTCTGCAGAGAGGGTTTCACAAGAAGAGGTGGACAACATGGGACTGAGAACAAAATCACGCTAAATTTGTCACGCAGTTACGACAATGAGAACTGATTTCGGCCCTACCATCCAGGCCCATAAATTGGCTTAACTGAGAAGCTTGGACAACTGAACAGTGATTTATTAGGTAGGCGCTGAGACTGCAGTGTGACACCACCAATCTGGGTTGTTATAGTTGAAGTTATTACATCGTTCTGTCATGCATGGTAGTCTACTAATGTGTTTTGACCATAAGTCAGGTATACAGTTGCCCACTGCATGGAAGAGTACTTAATTCTCCTTTCAGACTCAGATGACACGTCAGCCTTTTTCATACAGTCACAACTCTTTACTAAGAGATCAGCCTTTTGGCAGCTCTCATAAAGGTCTATTCATAAGATGTGAATATAATGTTTATGTTTTAGTCCAACGGGCAGATGAAAATAAGAGAAAAAAATTAAACACCATTGCTAGTCAATTAGCTGGTGCATCAGGCATGGATAGAAAACAGCGCAGGAATTCAGAGCCAAGTTTGTGAATTTAGTTATCCGTGGCGCAGCTGTCAATCCCAAGAGTTTCGGACCCCCACAACTACTCTTACATCACCTGAAATCAGCCATACTTGAAACACATGTGATGACTCAGTGACCAAAGTGAAGATAAAGGGCCATTACCGTGCATTTGTATGGTAATGATACTTAATTTTGGCTCCAGTGTTCTTGGCCTTTTCCTCAAGCGTCCATTATACTGTTTAACATGGCAGCCAGTCACAGATAGAGGATCAGTCCTACTGTGTGCCTGTTGAAGCAGGCGTGTTTAAACATCCAGTTTTTCATTCCTGATTCATTGCCGAGTCGTAAAAATGGGTGAATATGATTTCATGTGATCTCATCGCAGGGCGATATGGGTGAAGACGGACCGAAAGGTGACATGGGCGAGAAGGTATGTAAATTATTTAATTTCTTCTCTTTGTTTATGTTTTGGAAGCTGCTCAGAGAAACAGTAGATGGTCTGGCTTTGGCCAAAAAACATTACTCAACGTTAATGTTAGCCATCTGAGATGGGATATACGGAAACCGCCAGAGGCAGCTGAGGTCATGTGCCATCACTAAAATAGTTGTGATGGCCGAATAAAAGCAATCATCCAAGCACTTGATTTGTCACTGTACTATATGTGAACTTAATTTTAACAATACACTGATGCTATTTTTCTTTTCCCTTTCTTTTTTCTGGAGGGACCATTTATCATAAAGACAGCTTGTCAAACTGAGATCCATTTTGCACAATAGGCAGAACTGAGCTTCGCTGAAAAGATGGATGTTTTTGTCCAAAAAAAACTTTTGTTTTCTGTAAAGGCTCGTCTTATATGGGTTCTGACATCATGTTCAGAGTTATTATTCTTTCTATCTAAAATTCAGCATGTCGCCTTTGCAGTTTTTATCATGCTAAAACAGCATTCATGGAAACAGACTGCAGCCTTATTTCAATTTTATGAGCTCACAACAGAAGTTGGACCCCTTTTATATGCAAACCTGTTTTAGAGCATTTCAGAAAGCCATTATCAATTTGAATAAACCATTACATAAAAAATGTTGATTCAGCTCCTCACATTTCTCGGAAAGAATAAAGATTCTTCAAAGATTGCCAAAAAAGTGGTAACACAATTGCTACTCCAAGACAGCCAGCCCTAAACACTTTGATGTATTATGCACCGGAGTTGCTTCCTTTTTTTGCTCTGAATACTGCTAGGTATGAAAACAAAGTGTAACTCATAGACCGGCAGCCGTGTGGAAGCAGTGTACTCAAAACGTCACTGCCAATTTATTGCTGTTCAGCGGAGAACAACTTTGATAACCTCTCGCTTTATGGGCGCTGCGGTTTTTAAAAGGCTGCCGAACTCGGCAGCCGAGAAGGATACAATTCGGGGGAAACAGATGAAAGATATCATCTGTGGAAAACGAATGAACAAAACGGAAAGGTAGGCGTAGGGTGATAAAACTTTGTAGCTCGTGCGACGCTTTGATCCAGTGTACCTCAGAGCAAAACAAGGGGAAAAAGTGATTGTTTTTCTTTTTTTTCCTGGAGGAGTTGAAGTTACCACTCATCCTTCAAGTGCATACTCCAGGGAGAGTTATTGTAAAGATTTAGAAATATAGTTGACATAAAAAGTATACAGGCAGCTGTAAAAAATGTGGCTATGGTGAAGTGAAAAACTGTGTTATCCTCCCATATAGTGACACAGATCCTGAGTAATTCACCAGAAAAGCAAGTTTGTTGTGGGGGAAAAAATAACATGAGAAAGGAACAATAACTTGGTTGCATAAATCTGCACTTTAATCTGTTATTGAAGCGGCATCTTCCTTAATCTCAGAATTTTGATTTTTTCGTTTAAATGTATGTTAGCATGTTACAGTGACATTTGTTAATATATTCCCACTCTTCCATGCCAAAGTTCTCTAATTCTACAAGGTTGTGAGAACCTCTCTTGTCACAGATTTTCTATTATATTTTGTTTTGGATTCTAGTTTGACTTCAATCTTAATTTTTGATGATTTGGATGTGTGATTGAACTCAAAACACAGTGTGGACAAATTTACGATAAATGATGTCAAGTGTAAATTCAAGAAGACTAAATGCTAAAGCTACATCTAATTTAAAGTTACTACAAGAAAATATCATTTAAAGTCATATCACCAAATTGTTTTATCTGTTTCAATTTTTTGTATCTTCCTCTGGTTTTGGTTTAATTTTACAGTGCACAGGTCGCATTAAAGTGTGAACATATATTTTAAACTGAGCTTATTTTTTCACACCACAAAACTCTGAATTTTTTACACACCTTTTAGGACCACTGTAGTAAAGTGTTTAGGTTAAGATGGATAAGATTACCTCATCTCAATCTGTCAACATCAGGTTAGATGTTTTATTTAACGTAGCGCACAACATATGGAAAGAATAGCCTCAATCAAGATACTTTCAGATGAGTTTAACATATGTCAGATTGAAATTCAGCACAGGAGAAGAAAATGTATGCTCAAGCAGGGCCCCTGTCATCAGAGTTTTTTGTCTGATCAATTGTTCCTCCACCGTGGTATTGTTGTAGCACCGCTGGTTGGAGAAACCAGAGAACAGAGAGACATGAGCAGGGCGGAGGGCATCCTCAGTCCTCTAGACTAAGCATGCCAAAGTTAACAATACGCAGCACGCAGTGCAGGAAAAAATGTGGAAGCACTAAGTGAGAGGTGAGACAGCATACGCTTTGTTATGTTGCGCTTGGAGACCTCAGGGAGCAGAGAGCGGTGAGGAAAACGACAGCGTAAGCAGTCGGGCCATAGTTTTCCTCAGACAAGGGGAGGCTGGTTGGATGGTGGGGGGTCTGTTGTACGGGCAGCGCTCTAAAAGACAGGGCAGGTCGGCTACTTCTAAGTTAGTTTTTAGAGACAAAACTAAATATATTAAATATGTCATTTTGTATAAAAAAAGATTAGACGAGAACAAAACAGCAACAATAAGATAGATGATGATCAGTGAACGTATAACATACTAGAGATTCATATTAGCTGCTAAGCAGCTCTTAATTATTCCTTCTTAGCAAAGTTAAAATGCAAAGATATAAAAACACTTTGAATTTTTCTCACTTCACTAAAGTCAGGTCACCACTCCTTATATGCTGGAAATAAAATGAATTTTTATTTTCCTTTTTTCAAGTAAAATGCATGTGGTTCACATTTGTATCCAGCCCACTGAGTCAATGTTTTGTCAAATCACAGGTTCAACTTTGATTTTCAATTAAAGTTTCTTCTGGACTTTTACTTGTTGGCCTGTTGGACGAGAATCTTCCCATCAACTTTGACCAGGTTTCTTGTCAGAGTTGATGGTGGAAAAAAGCAGCTGCACATCATGATGCATCCACTACCGTGTTTCACAATGGGTCGATGTGTTCAGGGTCACCAAATGTCTTCAAATCCTCCGATATGTGCACTTTCCAGGGGACTTTCTTTTATTTATGAAAATGTCAAGGTTCTAACATAACTAGGGACACACTGGTCACAATTGCTATCCTAAATTAATACTGCTTTTATGGCAGTACTTGCCAGTATCATATCACACATATAAAAGTTAAAGCGATTACACTACTTTGCTTCTTAGCATCAGTTTAAAACTTCATATTTTGGTGCTGCATCACTATCGCTGTCACTTGACCTCATATCCAGCTCCGTCTCTTTTGTGAAACCTATACACAAACTTGAACAAGATGGAGATGAACATTGGCTGTTCATATCAGCTCTTACTTATCGGATCAATATTGATATGTTAAAAAACAGACCAAAATTGCCCCATACCGATATCATCACTATATATCATGCTTCCTTGATTTCTTTTTTATTTAAATATTCTTTCTAACTAAATAGAGAAGTCACACTTCCGATATGTTCTTATCAAAAGTAAAAAGTATTTTGAAGTAAACAGAGTATGATTGATGTTTTTCAGGACAGGGCCAGATGTGCTCGTTTTTCGGAATCTGAAAACCATAACATAGCAGGCCACAAACGTTATATGTTTGTCTCAAATGAGCAGAGCACCATCTTCTATATGTTTCCTGTGTCACCCCATGGCTTGTGTTAAACATAAAACAAGTCTAGTCAAGTTTATTTGTGTAGCACCTCTCAGAAACAAGGCTGAGCAAAGTTCTTCTAATAGCTTTCTTCCAAGTCGACAGTCAAATTATCCAAATAAAAGATGATTTGTGTAACGTGCCAAAATGTAAATAAGTTCAAAATGTAGGAATGCTTTTTTTAAAGAAACATAATTGCTGGGGTAATTGTTGTTTTCCACTACTGTTAAATCTTTTGCATAGACACAGGACAATATGTGCTGTGTTGCCATCATCAGTGGAGAAAATAGCTGTTTCCAACTGTGTCTGTGTGTTTTCTCTGGCCTCATTTAAAACAAATCATTACCCCAGTTAAAAGCTTTAGTTCTGAGCCATTTACTGTCTAAGTATTTAACTAGGTGTGAAATTAACTGTGGCTCATCTTGTTTGAAAAGTTGTAGATAAAAAAAAAGCATTTAAGGTTTTAGAAGTGAACCCTGTCGCAGTATTGCCTTCTTTTTGGGGCGGGGGGATATGAGTTTCAGGCTCTGGGCAGTGCAGCAAAATAATTTTTACATCCTAAACGTCTTGAGAACTGGCCCACATCTAACGTTTTGGCAGGCTTCTTCTGCCCTCCTAAACCTCATATATTCTTGTTCAGTGACTGAGGCTGATATTTAGCTGAGGCCAGTGGATTTGGTCATCTTTTCTAATGGCCATAACGTTGAATAAGAGCCATGTGTGAGGGTTGCAGTGGCATGACTTGCGTCGCAACTCAGTTCTGGCTTCACTGCTCCCAAATTAATTCCCTCCATCTCATTTGTGCATCTCGCCATCCAAGCAAACAGCTGCTAGACGGCCTGATTCACCAAGCGTGCATTATGAGACCTTTGGGCTATTATCTATAAATGCCAGTGTGCGGCGACAGGTCTGGGTGCCCATAATGAAGGAGTTGCGGTGACAGCTCTCCGTCTCACTCAGCCCTGTGGTTAAATCGCAGTTCTGCAGCCTCCACTTGGTAATTGGCCCAGATGGGACATTTCAGCACTCTCTCTCCGCCACACCTCAGCTCACCTCCCAGCTCCACCGCTTTTTCCATCCCATACGACGGACATTTGGAAGGGATTAAAGTACGGTCGTAACTCTCGCCTGGGTCTCGAGCTTGGTGTTGCCCGTATTAGATGTGTCGTGACAGAAGCGGCACGGGGAGCAAAGTGTTAATCGCCTGCGTAGAATCTTCTGGTACCACCACAAGAGTAATGTAAAACGTGCCCTTTTGATTCATTCCCCTACAATAGTGTGGGCCTGCTGTGATAAATTGTGGGAAAAGCATTGTTTGTACTGCGAACACGTTTTGCTCATGAACTTTACGAGTTAAGGCCTTTTCTTGTTTCTCCGTTGTACGAGATGTCACAATGGAACACAGATGTGAACATTTCTGCCAACTAATAACAGGTGAAAACCAACACTGACACGTACGTTTGTTTTACATTTGATAACGCCTTTCCATAAAGTTTACAAGTTTTATTAGTTTTTGGTCAACCACAGCATTAAATACACCCCTAAGGCGTAGGTGGGGTGAGTATTTCAGCTTGATAATGTATGAATTCCTTTTTATCACGCATAGGATCACAGTAAACTGAATTTTGCTGCAAAAATGCATTCACTTAGATTTGCTTACACGGCCAAATGCAATGTAAAATAAAGGCTCAGAGGTTGGAATTGCATGTTTTGAGATGTTGACAGAGGCATCCCGGAGTGTGCGAAAAGGAAGTACTGCTGCAAATAGTAGCGCAGTTTGTTGTCAGGGCTAGTGGGGCGCGGAGGGGAGGTGGGAAGGAGAAAGAGCTTCAATTAAACACTGACTTGTGTGCTGTGCATCATAATGATTCCCATAAAAAGCTGAGGGCGAGATGCATTCCTGCTGTGACTTCTGAGCGTGAGGCGTATGTGTAGTGAAACCGCAGAGTCCGCACCAGAGCTGAAGGCACCAAGTCTCCTCCTCCCTGCTCCGTTTTCCCACCAACCGCCCATAATTACACTTATTGGCCCCTTGTTTTATGTCTGCTTTAACTGTACACTGCAGCAGTAATGCGATGCGTAGCAGAGGGCCTCGCTTCTGGATGTCTGGACGACGTTGGAAATAAAATAAAAAAACGCAACATAAGTAGCTCTGTCTCCATCCAGTTCAATGCATTACCTGGAGAAATGTACATTTTGAATGGTTACAGTACATCTATCAAGCCTCTAACCTCCTTTACTGTGGATTTTTCTATTAGAGTGTTAGGTTTCACCTCTCTTGTCACGATTGCGAAGCAGCTGCACACTGACATTTTAAACACTGAAATGATTTCCAGCTCTGAAGCCTCTTTAAATGCTGTATCAGAGGTCTGTGGGAAGGTAAATGCTGCTTTCATTGTTTAAAACAGCAAACAGCCTTCTTTCTAATTGGATTTCCTTGCAGTTTTCACCACAAAAATGCAGCCGTTTTGTAATTTTATTCAGCATTGTTCAGTGAATTAGCTTTTCCAAAATCACTTTTAGAACCATTTCGCTGATGCAAACGTTCCTCTGTTTTAACTTTACAGAAAGTGATGCATGAAATCAAAATCGTTCATCTGGGTTTCTGTGTCATCTCTTCATCTATTCTTTTGTATTTTTTACCTTAGGGTGATGCAGGCTCCTCTGCAGCAGGCATCAAGGTAAGTCCTAAACCGTTTCTTTTTATGTTTTGTTTTGTTTCTCGTGTGGCTCCTATTAAAGATTCTCAGTTGGACTAATTGCATTTTAAGAACACTTCCCTCCAGACTAAGACCTCAATCACAAAGTGAAAGATAACTCCATGGATTGTTGCATCATCATCATCATCAGTGTGTGATGGAGCATTAGAAATCCATGACCAGAAACTACACTTGTAAAACTCACCTGCAGAGGTTGCTGTACTACATTATGGCTATAGTGGCATATCTGTGTCATGGGTGCCTCATAGCAGAAATCGAACCGTATTCACACACCTTCACAGTTTGGCCATACAATAATTTGAAGGAAGAGTGTCCTTACCACAACACTTTGATATATATTGTAATCCTTTTGGCTCCTTGGTTGCTACACTATGGCAACCAGTTAGGTAACAATAAAGATCCCACCAAGCAGCCATTGGTCCCGCCAGATACATACAGTGTCATGATCAGACTCTTTGTACAATGAAAAATGTGCTGCCAGTCTGGGAAGAAGCACACAAGCCTCCAAAATGTACATAAACATGTTGCCGGGAGACAAAAAGGAAGTCATTCGTTTTTCTGGCTGGAATTCAAAGGTGCAATATATTTGTCAGGAAATATGTGAGACCAGTGGCAGGACTACAACAAGTACAAATGGTCTACTAGCATCGTGTTTGCCTTGCGACGAAAACAAGATTTTCCTAACTTTTCTCATTCCAGCAATGTTCGATGAGTCAAAGAGACCCTGGAGAAATTTATGTGAAATTTGAAACTCCATGTGAAGAGAAATGTGCAGAAGTGAAATGGCTCAAAATAAGCTGTTCTTGGCGTTACATCTTAGTCAATAAACAAGCTACTTAGTAAAGTATGTTGCTTTATTGTGACAAAAGCTAAACGTTAGTTTAAAAGATTGGATTTTGTTCAACCAAATTAGAAACAGTGAATGCTTAGATCAACTAAGTTGACTGTTTCACATATTAAGAAATGGCCTGCCATCCCTAATTCAGCAGAGACATGAAAGCATACATGTAAAGGCAAAATGGAAGCACTTTGAAACAGGCTTTCTACATGTTTAGCATAGTTTTTGTCTGAAATTTATCTGCCTTTCACTCATTTTCAGTTCAGATATTCCTTTAAAGAACCTGAATATTCTTTAAATTGTAGTGTGAAGAGGATGCAAACTTCACTGTCATATTCTTATGACAATTCCTACAACTCCTCTAACAAACCCTGTCCTGGATGAAAAGCCTTATAGCCCACATTAAAGGCATTGATTTATCTCATGGGTTGAGGAGACTTTCATGTCTGAATGACTCACAATTTGGTGTGTTAGTTGAAAGGTTGTCAGTTCGAATCTTGCTCTCCACATTTCTCTTGGACAAAACACTGAACCTCAAGAGGCCCTGATCTGTGGCTCTGCGAGTAATTGTTTATATGAATATGGTCTTTTGTCTAAATCCACTTTTATTGGTCAGAAACACTGGGAAAGTTCTGGATAATCGTCGTGCAGTTCTGGTTAAGATGGCCTGTAAATAAAGCATCTGTGAAGAACACAGTTTATGTCTTACAGGGCGAACCGGGAGAACCTGGACGGAGTGGACAGAAGGTAATCATTACTATTTCTTTTAAATTAAATATTTTTTCACAAATGACCAGAGACTTGCAACAGACAAGTTCTGTCTGCGCATACTGATATGTCTGTTCACAGTGTCAATGCCCATACCTAGACGTACTCAATAGAAGGGGAAGCTTTTATTCCAAGATATTTCATTTAAAGGTTGGTTATCTCAAAGCCTAGTGGAGTCTGTTGTGCAAAATATGTTTTCTACATTCGAAAGGCTCGGTTAAATCTGACACCTAAAGCTGATTGACTATTGTAGAGCTGTGATTCAGTTTTCAGGCTTTACAACCTCTCAGAAACCATACTAACATTTGTGGGTATGTTTCCCTTTTTGTTTAGGATTTATTTATGGTTGTCTAACTTTACCAGACTCTCGCATTAAATAGCTTTGCTTCAGTGCAACTGAAAAGCATTGGCAACTTGTCTACATGTTTATTGCCTTCAGAGGCAACAAACTAAGGTGCTTTGCAAAACTTTGGCTAATCGCATCACCCCAAGCCTTAAAGTATTTTATTGTCACCCTTAAACTTTTCCACAATATGTGGGGAATTTTTTATTTTTATTTTGGTGGGTTTTATAGACCAGCACAAAGTTTTGCATGATTGTGATGTCAAAAGTACATAAATCCAGGATAACCAATCACCTGGAGGTTGCACATCTTTAGTGGCCATTAGGTGAGAAGTGAGCTTCATCCTGTACAGGTAACCAGTCCATTAGAGGGTAACATAGAGACAAACAGGACAAAACAACCAGGCACATACACTGAATGCTAAGGGCACAGGAGTAATTAGCATGCCTGATTTTGGAAGCTGGAGTACACAGAAAGAGCCCCTATATGCACAGAAAGAATGTGTTTACTACATTTTAAATCCATGCCAGGATTTAAATATGTGAACTTCTTCCTGCAAGACAACTGAAACAACTACCCCACTGTTGAATATGAATATTAAGTATTCATATTCAATATCAATTTATTGATATTGAATATTGAATTCAATATTGAATATTGAATATGAATATGACCTACCTTCATATTCAATTTCAATATGAATACAACTGTAAAAGCCTCAAACGTTTGTTAGAGAACATTAGTGAACGATCAACCCTCCTTGGAGAAGTAATAATCAAAGACATATCCCAAGCTTCGAACATCTCATGGAGCATCGTTTGTTACATGATCCGAAAATAGAACAAGTGTGGTTCTGTAAACGTACCAAGTCATTTACAGAACCACATCTAAACTGCAAAGATCCATAGCCAAGGTAGGAGAGTCTGTTACCAGATCACTTCACAAATCTGGCCTTTATTAAAAAGCAGCAAGAACAATACCATAAAGAATCTTTTTGATGTTTTCCCAAGACCAGGTCAGTGGTTCCCAACTCTGGCCCTGCAGGTTTTAGAAGGGTTTCTATTCAAGCAAACCTCATTCAAATGATTGCATTTGAAGTGCTACAGGAGCCTGTTAACCACCCATTCATTTAGACGCCTGTTTGCACTACAGGGTCCGTCTGACATTTTGTTGGCTGGCCCTATTGTCCCAGCCCAGTTTGTGTTTGCATTGTGCCAGTGCAGATTGCTCATGCTTTTCCTCAGCATGCGAGCTGGTCAGAACTGATGGCAAGATAGACGGAGATAATTGCCGGGCAATCCTTGAGGAACACCTGAAAAGAATTGAAACTAGAAGTTCACCTTCCAGGGACAACAACCCTAAACATACAACCTACAAAGGAGAATAATGTGATGTGATATGAAGACTAATGTTCAGATGCTATTTGTCCAATCTGACTGGGCTGGAGGTCATTGTCAGACAATGAGTAAAAATATCAGTCTGTACATGTGAAACGCTAGAAGAGGAGAAAGTCACACTCACAGGCAATAAATACAAATATATTCCACACAATGTTTCTGTTTACTTAAAAATGCTCCACTACTTTGAAGTGGAGCATTCAAGGTAGTGGAGAATGCTCCACTACTTTGTGTTGGTCTATCACATGAAATCCCAATTAAGTGCATCCAAGTTTGCGGTTGTAATGTGACAAATTGCTGAATGGGTTTAGTTGAAGGGCAAAGCACTGTATGAATATCTCTGCTAGGCATTGTAAGTCATTGTGATTAAAACTGTTGCAAACCAGAAAGACCTGACTGCAGCTGCAATTCTGTCACTTTTTAAATCCTGTGTGTTGCGCTTATATCGTTTGTTACATTTTTCCTTTTTCTTGCAAACCAGTTTGATATTTGATGCTGCAGACGAGACGCAAACTGTCTTCTTTTCTCGAATATTTCATACTCAACTTGTTTTTGCAGAAACATCAAAAACTATCTCCAATCATCTTTAGAAATCCAAGGATAATGAAATTTCCCCATTGGCTGATTGCCAATAACTGCTGGTAAAGTGTTTGTCCACAAGAAAGACTTTTATTCACTAATTTACAGTCCCTTTCATAAGCCACAAAGTAACTTTACAGCCTTCTCTCTGATCCCGCAAGTGTCGTTAAAGTTGATCATTCTCGTGCAGCACTAATCATTTCTTTTTCAGAAGCCATAAATACAAGGGGCCTAATTGAGCATTAAATTATTCCCAGTCCAAATTTTTATCTTTGAAGTCTCACAGATGCCTCAGAAAGGACGTGACCTCTGAATTTTTGGGGGTCTTTTTTTTTTTTATTACCTAAAGTTGGATCTCATACTGGGTTTGATGCTCAAACTTCTGGAATTTTGGACTTTTTTTGTCACAGAAAAGTTGGGTAAAATGGGAGCTTCCCACGCTGCCAGACTCTAATGATCTACAAGTCATTGCAGCTCTCCCAAACAGCTTCTGCAACCGTAACCCAACATATCTGACAGTTTTTCCTTTTTAGAAACCAGGACTTTTCACACCTGTCCGAACCAATAAAATCTTCAAACTGAAACTCTGCTGCTCCTTGTTGAGTGTTATAACAAGCACTAATCAGACTGTCAAGCTACAGCTGCATGAGCTAGTATTTAAAAAAAAAGATGCATGTGCCTTCTGTTCTGCTAATGCTCCCATCCCCACTCAAGCAAATGACAGTCAACTCAAGCCAGGAGACTGCTTTCCAGAGCTGCGGCAACTCGATAGCCAGCGAAAACAAAAACAGGAAATAACGTGTCGAGCAAATAAAAACCCCAATGAGCCTACAAATGAGGCTTGACTCAGCTTAGCTTGGCTTGGCTGTAACATGTCGCACTCTTCCTGTGTAGGGAGAGCCAGGACTTCCAGGGCTGCCTGGACTCCCAGGGATAAAGGTAATTGCTTCGCTGTTTTCATCCCCCTCTCAGTCATGTCCACCCGGTGTTGTCCGTGTCCATCCGCTTCTGCCCATCTGAGAGAGCTCAGAGCAACTCAGCTCACCCATTGTCATGGCACTGAGGTCTGACGATCTTGCTTTTTCCATCCTTTGAGGGATTTGCACGCAGACGTGAATGCTCCATCTGCAGGAGCTGCCGACCTACCTTCAACTGCAGTTCAAACTTTGGATTTTAGGGCTGAATTTGTGCAGGATACTTGTGTCACTACGAATTTGTGAATAACATCCGTTTTTAAGAGCTTTAGCCCACTTCCTGAAAATGTGGAGAGTCTGGAAATTCTGCTGTTGGCGAGTTTGTTCAGATGCTTTCAATTTGAACTCTAAGGATAACTTTTCTGCAGTTAGCAGCTTACCTAGAGTGGATAACTCTGAATGTCTTCAGCAGGGGTGAAATTTAGTCATTGAAAAAATTTCACAAACGGATGTTTGTTTCAGATAAACTTTATTGTCAGTTAAAGTTTCTAAAGATGTTTTTTACTTTCCCCTAAAAATGTAGGTGATTGATTTATTTATATTTACGTAAAAACACAATGTGTGTACCACACAAAATGATGATGGCTCCCGTGTGCTGTCCTACAGTTGACACTTGTGTACTTTACCATGACATATCTGCTTATTTTCTAGGTAATTGAGTATTTTGAAAAGCAAAACGACACTAACTTACCTTCTGCTGACAGACGTTTATTGAAGTCACATGATATTTTCTTACAGTATACATTATCAGCTTCAGAAAATCAAAGTTGTTGGTCATCTGGTACAAAAAAGAAATAAAACTGTAAGAGTATGGTATAGCGAACGATCAGCCAGCACTGCCAATATTATGAGTGAGACATCGACTGGTCTCATTAAAAATCAGTCACTAAAATAAATCTGGTGAGTCGCTTTCCTGTTCTTTAGCTCTTGAGAAAGTTTGTTGGTTTCTGTTCACCGATTTACAACAGCAATGTCTTGTTGCTGGCTACACCTTGCCGCTCAGGTGGAGCTGCTCCCCCTACAGGTCAGTTGTAGAAACTGACCATTGTTCTCTGGCAATAAAAGAAAACTGCTTTGTTTCCTACTTCAATTTCTCACTCATTTTCAAGAAGGGTTTCACTTTGAAATGATTTAGCGCGATGGCGTGCCATGATATCTCGTTACACTCTTAGTCATCAGTGTAAATGTCCATGTAAGGCAAATATGGGAGCAGTTTAAAGGTCTATAAAATAGAGGGTTCTCGTTCACAACTGTGAAATATTTGAGATTTGAATAATTTGAAATTGTTTCCAGATCCCAGAAATCCACTTTGGTTTTGACCCCCCACCCCCTCCAGTCAGCTTCCTCCTTTGAGGAACACTGCTTAATTAAATTTAGACCTTCAAAAAGTTATCAGGATTGTGAGACATTAGGTTCTCATAAACTGTCCACAGAACCCCAGTTTAATCCATGTCGTTTAGGGGAGGAAGTTTAGTCACATCTTTAGAATTTATTTTCTTTTTAGTTTGGAAAGCAATAGCACAGAAGCTAAACATGCAACAAGCACTTAGTAACCTTCTCATGTGAGTGTAGTCATATAAACGTATATCAGGACCATTGGCTTGAAAACTAACGTGTTTAAGCTGTGAATGCTGACACAGGCATGATGCTGATGCTTGTTCCTGTTTTTGGTTTGTGTTTCTCTCTCTCCCTTTTTCTTTACGTGCCTGCAACGTGTTTGGCTTGTAAAAAAAAAACAAACAAAAACCCCAACAACAACCTTTTATTTTACATTTTGTACACTCCTGTTTTTACTTAGCAGGCCTGCATGTTTGATGTGATTCTAAAAAGTTCCGCTAACGTGGCACTTTAACAGGTTCTGAGCTGTTATTCTTCTTCCGCATACTTTGCTGTTTGGTTTAACACTTAGAGAACTACATGCGCATCACTTCATCGAGGGCTTCCTGAGCACCTGAAGCACTCTAGAAGGAACTTTGGTTGCTGCTTTAGAACCAAGTGTGGCACAAATCGAGGGCAGCATCACACCTCATACTGGAAGCTGGGTAAAAACGTGAAGTGCATTTTTTTTTTTTTCCCACACTCTAACTTATTTCTTAGGGTCTTGATGAGTTTCTGCTAAGGCCCGTCGTATCATATGTTCAGGCTCATGAGAAAGAAAAATGTTAGTATATGTGGAACTAAAGGAGCAATTAACAAATTGCCTGTCGTTGTGATTAATGCATGCGATCCTCAGTCTGCAGTCTGTGCACGTGGGAGTGTGCGAGCAGCAGTAAGTGCATGCCTGTCCTCATGAATGTATTCGGTCACTGATCTTGCGTGTGCCGTTTAGCGCTCATCAGAAACACCGAGTGGAAAAGTGAGTAATGGTTGTTTTTGTTGTTGTTTTTATTTTATTCTTTCGAATGTCTTTCAGGGTGAGCCAGGATTCCTCGGCCCCCAGGGAGAACCAGGACTTCCAGGACTCCCAGGAACTAAAGTGAGTGACATCAGTTTCCCTGACTGATCCTCTTCAGGTTGCGACAGTGATCGGCGACGAATCAGATGTGACGTGTTTGACAGATTTTAATAACACTGTGCTAACAGAACAGCAGATAGCGTATTGTCGTGTCACCAATGTTATTAAAACTCAGTCTCCACTAAATGTCAGACTGAAGCGGTCAGAATGAGCTAATCCTCTGCTGCTTCCTTTGAGTCATGACATTATCCTACTGTGGGGCCAGGGGTGATGATCCAAACATCAGGCAGCTTGCAGTGCTTTGATAATCAGAATGTATTCTCCTTGCATCACCCTCTACTGCTTTGAGCAACATTTTGTTAGTTTTATAGGGAACTAAAGGCAGAACTGTACTGGGACACTCATAACTCGGTTTTATTACAATTAAATTACATATAAATAAGGGCTTTGCAAGTTCTGTTCTGTAGCTGCTGATTTTACTCTCTTGGAAGATGATCTGGTGCAGAGAGGTTTCCCCCTTTTTGCCAACAACTGTGCCACAAGGTTTTACTTTATACTGTGTGCTGGACAGCTAGTGCAATGTTTCAGTGGGACCAAAAAAAACTTAGCAGAACTTATTTATCCTCATCAACTTAAACTGGGGTTGTTACCTCATTTTTAAGGGTGCAACTGTTTTCCAAAAATATCTACGGTGTAAAAGTCATGAGTCATCATTGAGTTCCCTTTAGTTTGATCCTTCCTTCTAGCAATTTACACAGGTTTTGTGAAGTTGTAGAAAGTTTCAATTCCGCCAACTGCCTTTTTTGCTGCTGAGAAAACATAATTATTTAGAAGGCTTTGGTTCCATATGCGCGGATACAGGTTTTTTTCCCCCCTCGTTTTTCTGCGGATTCAAAGATGTGTGGATGAAAATAATCCATTTGTTTTGGAGGGGATATACTCCCAACTTCTGAGGGTGCACTGAACGCGGTGTACTTGGGAACAAAATGGATTTGACCTACAGTAACAGGTACATGCTGCTGTAGTTGGCGTCAGTGTCACATGCACCACCAGTGGGTGTGGGTGCGCTAAACCTATGTCCTGACGCTGCATATCTAAGTTAAAACTGCAGGTGAAGACTTACACCACACAAAAATCTAAAACACAATATAAACATCTGTGACATTTTAGCTGGTTATTGAGGTCACTAGTCAAGGACGATGGCTGGTTTTTAACAGACCCAATAAGTGATGATCTTCAGGTAATGTTGATGGCTGTATGCCAGATGCAGGGCTGGTGGTGGTTGATTCTTGAAGATGTGTCATTTTTCCTTTAAATAACATTGTTTAGTTAGTTCTAAGCTACATTTTGAGGATCCTCTGAAGAGTTGAAGCCTGTTGGATGAGACATAAAATTCCATTAAAAAGCAGTTCAGCTGCCTTCTAATGAAGCACCAAGAAGATAATGCCTTCAAATTGTTTATTTAGAAAATTAGCTGCTAGCAGTCTTTGTGATTAATGCATGCAAAATCAAAATTTTATGTTTCTTAAGTTAAATCTGTTGAAAATCCTAAAGATAAAATGAAGAGAATAGCACTTTATCACTAATGTGGTTTAAATAGAGCTGTTAGCTGCAGCAAGATCGACTGGAGGATCATGTATCCTGCATTATGTCTCTACTGGATTTTTTTTCTGTGACTGATAAACATAAATTTCAGACATTAATTGGCTGTAAATGCCCTTTAAGCAATTTGTAGTTTGTCCTGCATTAATCTTTTCACAAACTAGACAATATGCAATCAAAGTCAAATATATATGCAACTAAATAATAGTAAAAAGGAAAAACAGCCAAAATTCATAGAATATGAAAAGGCCTTCGGAAAGTCTGGAGAACAAGAGACCATCAAGTCCATTTGAAAGGATTTCAGGAGAAAGACTGGCTGCTTGGAAAGAAAGTGTAAAAAGAGCAAAAGTTTGTGTGGTTGTAAATGAACGTAGAATAAAACAAAACAACTTATTTTTGCTGCATAACGACCCTTGAAGGCCAGGACTCGCCATGTTTCTGGTGTTTCCCTACTCAACAAAACTAAATCAAGTGAACAGTTCCTGAGCGCGCCACTGCTGACCTAGAAGACTTAGGTCTTGGGTAAATATCCATTTGAAGATGAAGTAATTTATCCATTTGATTCAGCTGTGTCGGAGCATATCTTAGACATGCAGCGTCCTCTTCTAAAGCTTTTCTCCCACCTATAAAAACACCCATGTGGTTTTGTTCAGTCACTATTTGTTGACCCAGTGACGGTCTTATGAACAGCATGTGTTGTGGTCTTAACAGGGCGAGAAAGGTGACCATGGACCAGCAGGAAAGGGTGATCGGGGAGAAATCGGACCTGCTGGGCCGAAGGTGAGGATATGAAGCACACATGCAGGATCCCCTTCACCTGACCGATGGCAGGATGAACGAGGCTCATTCTTGTGACTTTGCTGCCATCTAGAGTATTCCTTCTGAAAACAGCATTTATCCTGTTTCAAATCCTGAAAAGTCAAACTTACTCATTAACACACTAAGAAATTCCCCTTTTTTTTTTTTCCAAAGAAGAAAGGTGTTTCAACGATCATTACCATTACGTTTGAGGATCTTAAGGTGTTGGAGTTACATAAACCGACTCTAAATGAGTTCACCGTTTTGTTTATGTCTGCCAACGACCCTGCTGGGAGCGTAAGCTGCAGTCTAAACTTAGAGGACTCAGATGACTCTGGTACATATCCTGTTAGAAGCCCCAAGTTAAACCTAGGATTAGTTAGGGAGAGTGTTCAAATAAACACATTCTCTATTGCTCAGCAGTAACAAGATAAGATGTTTGTTTTTAAGCTTTGTTTTTAACCCAGGTGTTGGTTCCCCAGGAGGAGTCTGGGACGTTGATGATATTTCCACACTGAAATGTGCATCAGATGTCCGCTTCAAGTAATTTAATACCTGAGATGTATAGTTTAATTTATTTTACTACCCTTGGCAGGGTTCACAAGGGGAATCTGGTATGCCTGGACCTAAAGGGTCAAAGGTGAGTGCGGCTCAGATGCTTTCTTTGATTTTGTGAATTACAGACGTTCACAACACCTTTCTGAGCTTTTGGTACCCCTGGTAACAATGAGGAATGAGGTTGAATATTATCAAATGCTGACAATTTTAAAGCCCAAGCTCTTAAAATAAATATATATTTATATATATCTGTTGATAGAAAGGTAGATTTGTGATATTTTCTTGTGAAGCTATTTTAAGTTATTTCCTCACTTATGAAGAATAACGCCTTCTGTACATCATGTTCTCTAGTTTTTCCCATTTTGAAGAGTTTGTTGAAGAAACAGAACACAGATATGTTATACAAATTATAAATATGCTAAAACCTTTATTTGGTTTTTTTTTCTTCTGTTTATTTTGTGAGACAGTGGTATTTTTTTATGATGATAAGTATTTATTCTAAGAGTCTATGACACAACTTTACCAGGAGTACCATTACGTATAAAATGCACTGCGGCTAATTTCTGCATTTTGAAATGCAATCGTATAAAAAATACTCAAAGAAAGAAAATACAGATTTAGAAAAAGATGTCAAACATAAATGTATGTATCAATGTAAAAAAATCACATTTCATTTTTGTGCTGTTGCTTTTTAATTCCTCTGTTGTGATCATTTGAAAACCTATATCATGATTCATTCCTTCTCAGAAAAAGTCTTCTCATAAGGCTTTTTATTTATTTATTTCCCCTCTTAAAACTTGTACACATGCAAATTCTTACTTGTTGTTTCATGTAAGGGGGATACTGGAGATAAAGGAGATCTGGGATCTGTTGGCCCAAGAGTAAGCACTTATTTCAATTCCTTAAATTGTTCACTTAGTAATTCTGCATGCTTTTACTCAAACTTTATGAACTCTAAGAACTGCTCACCACTAGGGGGCAGAAATGACCTCTTAGTCAGAGTAAGATGCTGAAATCAGGACGTGTCCTTTTTGTTGATACGTGGTTCTTGGTGTGTTGCAGGGTCCTCCCGGGCAGAAAGGAGACAGAGGAGCCACTGAAATCATCGACTACAATGGAAACATCGAAGAAGCTCTGCAGGTCTGACATGTTATTGCCTATCTGGTACATTTTTATCCCTCTCATGTCCACCAGAGGAAAGAGCACAATGAAAGTTCACCTTTTTGTTTGCCTTGGCCTCACTGAAGTATAACTAATGCTCCATCATGCCATGCTGACACCAACATTTTCCTGTAAAGATAATCTCCAGTTTCTGTCACTTGGCCTTTGTTCATGTGTCAGATAAATAGAAAAAGTCTCTTAAGCGCAACTGAAGAAAGGTTTCAAGTGACCTGTGTAATCTTGTCTCTTACCTGCTTTCCGTTCCCACTCTTTCGGCCCCCTGCAGAGGATTACCACTATTACAGTCACGGTAAATAGGTTGTGTGTGTATTCTGTGCATTGTGTCATCATCACGTTTGATCCATCTTTGTCCCAGCATGGAGCCGTCGCCACACCAGCACTGGTTTGCACGGCCCTGTGTGTGTGTGTGTGGGTGTGTGTTCATACGTCCAGCAGTGTGTTTGCTTTACAGTGAATGAAGCAGCGTCCTGTGTCACCGTTGTGCATCTGTGTAACAGTCTGTACACTAAGTGTCTGAAGAATATATTTTAAAATAATAATTTGCTTTCTTTCATCTAGCTCCAAGAAGTTAGAATTAAAATACATTCAGGCAAATATATCTTAGTATGTGAGCAAAAAAGATAATTTTCGACTTTCTGATTACTCAACAAATTTTGCCTTCACAGTTATTTCTTTTTCAGCAAATTGTTACAATAAAGTTTCTTTTAAACTTTTGCTTCTTCACACAGGCCAATTTCAAGATGTTAGGACACAAACATGTCGAACTTATTTTAGATATTTACAAATTACAAAAGCATAACAGATGGGGGTCTTTTTCCACAACAAAGCATATGAAATTAAATACCGTAACAAGTCACCTGTGTTTAGAAATGTGTTCAACATGGTTTATGTTTAGATTTTCTTATTTTACAATAAAAAATTTTTAAAGTCTTTGCTCAACGGAGTCTGAGTACATTTTGAAGACAGTGCTTCTACTCTTTAGCTCCCTCAAGACAGTGGCATGTTTATTACTGATTAAACATTAGCTTTAATAACATAGAACTACATAAATTTTAACGTTTAATCAGTAATACGTTTATAACAGATTTATGTCAAATCATGATTTCTAGGTTAATGTGAAATTGTCATAAAGACATTTTGAACAATGTCAACTTTGTATTAAAAATGTCATGATTTACCAAATGACACTTTATGACAACAGTCATAAGTATTCATGAAGACTTTCACATGACATGTTTATGACAGTGTCATGACAGTCTTATTCACAACCCGTCAAAGAAAGTGTTTCCAAAAATTAAAATTAAGAGACCATTGAAAAAGTTTGCGTTTCTCAGATTTATAGAAAGGTGCTTTAGTAAAATAAGCATTTTAATTCTATAAATTGTTGACAGCATTTCTGAGAAATTCCAAAATCAAACGTTATAATTTATCTGCATTAATGGACAAAATCAAAGAAATACTTTACTTTTGGACCATAAACAATAGAAGGACAAGTCCATTTTGACTTTAAAACACAATTTTAATGTTTAAAATAAAGGCAGAATTCAGAAATCAATATTTAGTAGAATAACTATGGGTTTTGGTGATCTCTATGTAAAAAGATATGTAGAATCCAAGTCTGTTGTCAAATATCTGTCTTGTAGAGATGCTAATTTTTAACTTCAGAGACATTTTACAGCGGTAAATTTATAACTTATTGCACAGTATTGCATACTGGTGGGATTTTTGTTGATTTATTTTCCATATATTCAGAACTTAATAACATGGATGCTTGTCAGTTCTAATAAAAATGTTCTCTGTTGTTTTAATTGGTGGAATATGGGCTATTTATAACATTATAAAGCAATGTCTACATTCTAACATCCAAATGTGATTTTTGTGGTTGTAATTCACTCTTTGTTCTGATCTTTGCATGTGATGTGAGACTGACTTCTAATGTAGTTCTATTGAACTAAATCACCTATCTCATGGTGTTTTTTTTTTTATTTTAAAAACTGTTATGATGGTGTAAATATCTTGTGAAGGTAATAGATTCTTCTCAGAGCTGGTTTCTGTCACTTTTTTTGGACAGGGTCCTCCTGGGCCACCCGGACCAATAGGACCACCAGGCTTCAAGGTGACATTTTTACCCTCATGTCTAAATCTTAATTCAGGTGTCACGTTCTATGGTGTAAAGCGTATTATGCAACATCTAAACATTTAATTGCAGGGTGTGCTATTTTTGTAACCATGCTGCCTATTTGTGTGGTTTTAGGGAGATCGCGGTCTGCCTGGTCTTCCTGGACTCGATGGGGAGAGAGTGAGTAGATGGCTTTACTCAGATAGAAGCTCCAAATGTGGTTTTTGCAAACATTCTGTGAATTACAAACCAATTGTTACATTCTGTGCAAGAAGTCCACTTATGTAAATAAACAGAACTGGTCAGATGTAAAGATTTCACGGATTGAGTTAAGGTCTCTGTTGCAAAATTTGCTCTGAACTTGCCCTTGAACATGAGTAAGTGAAGTTTGTAGTACCTGTGAGGTAATTTGAAGAATTATGAATTAAAACCGAATCATCTGTGTGTGTGTGTGTGTGTGTGTGTGTGTGTGTGTGTGTGTGTGTGTGTGTGTGTGTGTGTGTGTGTGTGTGTGTGTGTGTGTGTGCGTGTGGCACCTCTCTCAGGGCTATAAAGGTTCCAAGGGAGACATGGGAATGCCCGGAGCGTCAGGGGAGAAAGGAAGCACTGGTTTACCTGGCTTACCTGTAAGAATCACACACATTATTGGAGTAACAAAGGTTTCTTAAAATGTATCGTTATTCAACATGTTCAAACAACTTACCTCATGATGCTTGTTTATAACAGGGAATTAACGGAGCAAAAGGAGACAAAGGAGATCCAGGACTTCCAGGTCCGCAAGGTCCATCTGTGAGTAACGTACAGATAATACAAATGCATTAAATAGAGTTGGGAGCTTTTTATAGCCAAACATGCAGGGAACTATTGTTATCATAAAATAGAGTGAAAGTAATGTTTTCATTTGAGGATTTAGTTGTGTCATTTTTTTACATTTTCAGATAACTGGCCCTCCAGGGCCACCAGGACCCCACGGGCCCTCAGGACCCATGGTGAGTTTTTTTTTTTTTTTTAATAGTTTCCCTGGACAAAATATATAAGGCAAACCCTGTTTGTTTTTGGTTTGTTTATTAGTTCAAGAGAAAATCCTCTGATGCTCCTAAATCAAGAAATGACCTCATTATTTACCTTTTGACCGAAAGTGTCCCTTTTGAATGTTTTTCAGGGACCCCATGGCTTCCCGGGGCCTAAGGTAAATGTTTAAAATACATTAAGAGATACAGTGAAAATTGTTCACATATGGGATATTAGTTTCTTTCAGCCAAAACCCTGTGCTGAAATGCACCAGGCATCTCTCTGTACTTTTTAATGTACAGTGGCATGTGGAAAATTGTTTGTACCTCTTTCAATAATAAACCGTTCCTCTGCATTACAACTGTCTTATTGTTACAACCTTCTTATTGTTGCTGAGCAGCTTTCTCCATGTTTTCACTGGTTTTTTGAGAATTTACCTCCCAAGTCTTTAAGGTTGGAAGGTCTCAAACTCAACTCTACTCTTTAGCTCCCTCAAAGATTTTTTTCCCCATCAGATTCCTGTCAATACTCAACCTTGGCCACTTCAAAACATTACTTCAATTAAAGTAATTGAAGTACTTTAATTACTTCAAGTAGTAATTAAATAGGGGTCTCTACACTAACAGGGTACAGATAATCTGGTACTTATTTGTCCATTTGAAGAAAAATCTTGCTTACAAGAAAATACATAACCACTCTACAGATTAATTAGCTCTTGTTGATGTCTTTCTAATTTGATACTTTCAAGCCTTTCAACTGACTAGGTTAATGAATGGTTAAGCGTGAGTTTAGAAATGCCTTATTGCAGTAGATCTTTAATATTGTAGAAGTCTAAAGCGGATCCTAGGAAGGTCCTTCGATCTTCTGCAGATCAGCTGCAACACAGTCCTCTACCCAAAATCTTTCCGTCCCACAGCTACGACCACAGAGAAGCTGCTTCTGCTTCTGTGAAATTCTCTCTTTGCACAGCCTGTCAGGTTATGTGTCACTTATCTTGGTATGTCCAAAGGGCTGCAGTTGTGTCGTGCATTTCCATTCTCACATTAAACTATTACTTTTTGGGTTGTCTGAGTAATGAAGACCGCATATTTAGATTTTTTATTGTCCAACATCCATCTGTTTTTCAACGATGCACCGCTTTAATTTTAATGTCTAAAAATCACATCAAAATTAATTGCAATTTTAGATTTCTAGGCGACATAAAGTTCAGCGTTTTAAGCAGCATGAAGGCATTAAACATCAGCTTTGCGTAATCATCTTCTACTTCGACTCTCTGTAGGGAGAACCCGGTTTGCACGGACTAAAGGGCATGAGAGGGGAACCGGGACACAAAGGAGATCGTGGACATATGGGTCTCCCTGTGAGTTGATCAGTAGTACAAAACATCTTTTAAGAAAATTCTCTTCCATCTTAGATTATTCATTTTATTTGATCAAGGTACTAGTTGCACATATATGTTTGTTTACATGAGTTTGTGTGTACTTGCGTGTGTCCAAAGTGCCTTGTCCATGTTCTGTCTTCATTTTCATTTGCCTGGTCTGACTACCTAAGCCAAAGCTCCCTGTGATTTAGTTTGTTGTGAACCCTGCCATCAACCTGTCCTAATAATAGTGTTCATCTGGTACTAATCCCGCCTTGTTCATGTCACTCATACCTCCATAACCTCACAGGGAGCCTCCGGCTTGGACGGCAAGCCCGGAATTAGGGTGAGTGTCATGTGTTCAAGGGGCTTCACCACCCAACATCTTTCTTTCTCTCTCCCACCATGAAGTTCATTTTTTTCCCTGGTTTTCTTGTCAACATATTATTTGCACATTGCTCCAAAATGCAAATAATGTAAGCTCTTTTTTTTTTCAGTATACTTTTCATGTTATCAATCCTCTAAGCTAAATGAAGGCACAGAAAGCTGCTACAGAAAACATTTTGAGACTCCTGTTTTGTCCTGTGTCGCATTAACACACACTCATACATTAACTGTGTCAGCAGTGTCGTAAGCGTCCTTTGTGGCCAATGCACGTCTACGAGCTGTGTGTGCTGGTTGTAGCTCGGGTCCTATAAGAATACCGTACAATTATGTCACTTTTTTTTTTTATGAAAACAGAGCGGCCATTATTCTAAAAGTGTTAACTCACCCTGGCAACAATACTCTCTGCAGGGCACAGACGGGCCTCCTGGTCCAGCTGGTCCAGCCGGGCCGAAGGGTGACATTGTAAGGCTGAAACTGCGTTCTTTTCAAAGAACGATGCTGCTCATGCTGACCCACAATTTTGAGAAATTTTTATGAAGTATAAAAATCTATTGACATAGATTTATTTGTCACAGGGTGAGAAAGGTGCACCAGGTGAGCCAGGACCTCGAGGACCTTATGGACTACCTGTAAGTTTTACAACATTATCATGCATTTCATAGATATGAGACGACAAACAGGGGTTAAAATCATAGGCACATATCAGGAATTAACAGGTTTAACTAGTTTTTGGCAGTAATTACATTTTTTTTTCTCTCTCCAGGGAGCCGCCGGAACGCCAGGTTTGGATGTAAGTTGGTTTGACTCTTTAGTCTTACGAGTTAGCTTATGAGTAGAAGCAGCTAAACTTTACAGAAAAAATGTAAAAATAAAAATCACTATTTTTTGTTTATAGAAGTAAAATAATAAAAATTTAACTGAAATGCAATCTCTTCTTAACATTTCTGTTTATGTACAAATTAATCTTAGAGGTGGATCATAGTTTCCTATTACAGAAAGTTAGAGAAGTTATGTTTTAAAACAAAACTATTAATATAAAAGGAAGGTCTATGGGATTATGTTCCTGATTTTTTTGAAGAATTTTTATAAATCATTGTTTTTTTAACATCCCACCTCAAGCTGCTCACTGCCATTTTCCCCCATAATTTTCCTAGTGATAGAAAGGATCCTAATGGCATGCTTTCTCCTGGTTTTTGTATTGAGAAGCTTTTTAGGTTAAAACTTAATTTATGCTTGACATATTTACATTCTGCTCAGAAATGAGGGGCACTGAATCAGGCCAATAAGGCTTTTGCAGCATTTATACTCTGTCGCTCAGTATTCTCCTACACTCTAGGGGGCAGTGTAGGCCATCTACAGCAAGTGTCCAACACTACACAACATGTTAGAAGTGAAAAACACAACTATTATTGGCCACATGGTTACAACATATAAAAGAGGAAGAACTTTTTTCTTTTGCTTGGGAGAAAAAGAAAGAGGAGATGCTCCACTTGTCCATGATCCTTTTGGGATCTGTATTAGTGAACCGCTGCCAGAAGGAGGAGCTCTTACTTGTCTGCCATGTTTTTCTCACATAGAAAAATTTCTAGGTGCATTGTGCAGAAAATTTGAGTGTTTGGTTGTGTTGCTGAAATGGCCTAATTTGGCCATCATGACTATGTAAATGTGTCAAGCATAAACCCAACATAAGCTGTAAAATAATACGCATCAAACATCTTTTCTATTTTTTAAGGTTCAATTTTAGTATTGATTGGATATGTTGGCAGCATTTCAACTGATTGCCATTTGGCAAATTAGACTCTTGATTGGATTTCCAAGATTCAAAGTCCTCCAGAATATCACTTTCAAATTTACAAAGTTTGGTGGACATTAAAGATGTTATCAATTCTGTTCGCAACTGATAGTGATAAATTATTGGATAAAGGAAGCAAGTGTAGCTTTACTTAACTAAAATTATTACAGTCCATTTTTTTATTTTATTCAGATGTTGATGTAAAGTATTCTACAAAGTTTATTCTTAAACAACTTAAAATCTAAGATTTTAACTTTAAACCCTCCCTTGCTATTTTTTGTTCACAATTGTTTCTGCAATATTTAAATTAATATTACAGATAAAAACCTTCAGATTCTGTTTGATCCTGATCTGGTTAGCTTTACGTGGATGAGAAAAATCTGGTCTCTCATCTAAACACAGTAATTAAGTAAAGTTGCACATTTTCAGGGGTTACCTGGATTAAAAGGAGATAAAGGCGACGATGGGGGAAGAGGAGAAAAGGTAGATGTAGATATGGTTATCTAGCTTATTAATATCTCTAACGTCAGAGGACTGATGTCAATGGACAGTGTAGAAACTTTTGATTTCATTTGTATTTGAAATGATTTTTTTTCATCCTTCAGTTTGAGGTGAACTTTTTCCCTCTAAAGTAAACTGTAGTCGAAAAGGAATCGTCCTAATTTTAGATCAGTTGCTTTTATAATGCTAATGAATTTTGTTTATTTTTGCAGAAACATAAACCATGACACCCCGACCCCCCACTCCTCTCGAGTCACATTTTTGTTCTCCCCTCCTCAGCAGTTCCACCATCTCATTGTTTCAAATCTAACTTCATTTTCAGACATCAAAAAGAGAGATCAACATATAAATCCAAACATGTCCATTGACAACAGGCTCTTCAGTATCATCTGTTTTCCATGTTTCCATGCATGAACAAAAAGTAACATATTTTCCTTCCCTCATTTCTTGAGCCTGTTGGTAACCCTTCCTCTTCTTGTTTTTGCATTCATTGTTTGTCTCTGTAATATATGTATTCATTCCTCAGACAGTGTATTAAGAAGCTATATCCTGTTTCTCTTTTATGCATTAAGTTGGGTTTTGCTCCCCACTCTAACACAGAACAGATTTTAACATTTCATCTCTTTCAGGTCCTTAAGATCAGTAATAAGATGTTGACATGCACTCATCATAGACATTAAGAAGGTCAGAATAAACTGATTTTTACAGCTCTCTGTAATCATTCAGTCAGTGCCCTGCTTTCTTAAAGGGGCAGGATTATAAAAAAAATCGACTTTTTTGAGCTTTACATTATGTCGTAATGTAACATCCCTGGAGTGTATGCTCATAAAAATATTAAGAGATTAATAAAGGCGCAGACTGTTGGAAAAAGTAGGAGTTCCTTAAAGAAACAGAAACCCAATTTGAAGGCGATAAATTACAAAGTCAAACTTTTCTTAAGTCATATTTTCGTAACTGAAGGTAACATAGTAAATTGATAGTGCAGTAAAATGATGCTATGTGGCTGGCAAACATGTAAAAAGGAGTTTGCAGTGGAACTCATGAGATACATAGGAATGATCCTTGAAATTTCCCACTGGCATCTCATTCTTTTAATTGTTCGGATTTCTAAAAAGTACATGTTGCTTCACTGAGCAGTGTTGCTGAGGTACCTCCTTAAATTGACTGTGTCCAGTCTGTCCTTGGAACACACAGTTCCTCTCCTTAATCTGTGGTCAACTGGGTCCAACACTGTAGAGGAAACGTTCTCTGGAAGGCAGAGATGTGTGCACTTTCCATAGAAAGAAAGAAACACTCTCTTGGCATCTTTGTGAAGAATTTGCGCCACCATCCCACTTTGCTACTTGGCACCTTGCAAAATTGAAGCCACAACAGCCCTACAATGTCCTGACACTTTGGAGTTTGGGTACAACTTTTGTACACTTCTAGCACCCTGATGCCAGTGATCGTTTCAATGACAACACTTTTACTGATTCCTCATACAGTCCCTGCTCAAAATATAAGCTTCTCTGACCCATCAAATAATTATTTTTTTTTTCTTGAAGCCAAGACAAGTTTAGTTTTCACAGCCTCTTTACAAATTTCTCACACACCAAAGATTTTTCCTCTTAAAACTTAGAAGTTAATGTTCTTCAGGATACTCAGTACCTGTTGGCCAGTTTCAGGAGTTCCCACACACACCCAAATCCCGAAGGTCTTCTTATTGAACCTCATAGCTTCCATTGCTGCTGGTGTCTACCAACGTGTTAAAACTACATTATGCTCCAATGTCTTTTAGGCTATAACTCCTGGAAGTCACGTAGAAACCCTGGACATTGTCCAGTCCAATTCCATGTTCCATGGTCTGGCTTATGGCTTTCCCTGCTATGAGATCCAATTCTCCACCAAGTGGTGTTCTGATGGTAGAACACCACTTGGTGATAGTTCTGACCTTTTGCGATCCTAAATTCCCAAGACACACAGCTGCAGGTCTGATGATATGAGGCCACCTTTGACCCAAGTTACCCTGGTAGCTGCCACTTTTTGCTTGATACAGGCAAATCATTCCACACAAACACACCTCATATTTAGATTACAACCAAGCAAGTGACTCCACCATTGTCCACATTGGCATTGAAACTCACAAGATGATACATGAAGATCCTCCGAGATGGTACGCCTCCTAGGACACCGTCCAAACACTCTAAGAAGGTTGGTTAATCTGAGCTGCTGTTGGACATACAAGAACAGTCAGAACCTTCATTTTTTCTACTCAAAACCACAAAGAGAGACCCTCCCCCTCACAAGGTGCTCAAGCTCGGGGCTTCAATTTATGATGTTCTTTAATTGTGACTCAGGTGAAACCCAATTTAAATACGTCAATGACGAGTGTGTGTCAATTCATTCCTAAAATGCTGATTTAAAGTAGTAATTTGAAATTTTACTCATGCTAACATGATATGATTCTTTAAAATGTTTGCATGAATGTTGACTTTGAAAGTTTATTTATGACTTTATAGAAATCTTGTGACATTTAATTCTGTATTGATGCAGTTTGGAGTTTCCTGCTTTCTCTGGTGGTTTTCTCCCTGCTAGTCTTTCTCATCCTTTGTGCCCTTGACACCACTTTGACAAAGTGTTTCCCACTCTACCTTGTTCCCTGCTTTTTGTCCCCCTCGTTTAAAGAATATCCAATTCTGCCTTGTATCCCCTCCTACCTAACTTACCTGACCATTTGCCTTCATTCCTTTTTGGGTTATAGACTTCCCTTCTTTAATCTCTCCTCATAGCAGTAGTAATTGTTGACAAAAATGAATTTAACCTGATCGAACCCTTGTATCCACAGGGGGAGAAGGGAAAGAAGGGCAAAAAAGGGCCTAAGGGCGAGAAAGGAGAACAGGGTGCCCCAGGATTAGATGCACCCTGCCCATTGGTATGTCCCAACTGTGAGCTGGAGTTTGCCTGCCAGCTTCGTGGAGCGGTTGCTCTGAACAAGGAGGAAGCTCCCTTTGGGTCCACTGACTCCCAACTTCTTGCTTTTACGGTCATGAAATCACCAACAACGTTGGTAGATGTGCTCATTTTAAGTTGGACATAAAAGCTTGCAGTTAGATCCCAAAAGCTTGCGACTGAGCCCGATTGTGGAGTCAGAAACCTCAGAGGGCAGCTCCTCCTTCACACTCCCTACGTGTCTGTCGAAACGGACCGATGCAGGGGGTGAAGGGTCGTCCACCTCTCTCCCAGTAACACTCCTAGGTCGTCTTTGCAAACAGGGTTTCCGGGGATTTAAGGGTGAAAAGGGGGAACCAGGGCAGCCAGGTCTGGACGGGCTGGATGCCCCGTGCCAATTGGTACAGTATTTCTCTTTTTCCTAAACCTCCTACCAGTGCATGCCACTCACCTTTAGCCCATTAATAACAAATAAACACACTCATGCATGAAGTGAGAGCTTGACAAGCATGGTCACTTTACTTAATCATAGCTTCATTTTCCATTTTTAGTGACAGACACTAACCCTAACATCTTCACTGCAAGCAGTCTCTTTTAGATAAAACATGTGAAATATACAGAATTAATAAATGTTTCATTTGGTCTATCCTTTTAACTGATTCCTGTCTTCCCTTCGAATAAAACTGGAATAAAAGGCTAAAACTCATGTGTCCCCCCCTGCTGAGCCCGCCTTGGACTAGCTACCTTTTAACCTGATGCTAACAAAAAAAAACCCTTATGCTGATGAATTAGCCATGCTGCAGGCGCATGGATCCCTCTCTCAATCCGTTAACTCTCCTATCCCCTCCTGTTCTTGTACCAATTGGGCCAGACCATTTCAAGAAAATAAAATAAAACATCAAGTTGGTTGCCACTGTGGACCTGGAATATTTTCATCACTACTTGTTTTATTTTATTGATTCTCATGCCGCAGAAGCGATGCTGTCTGATGCATGAAGATTCTGGTACAATGGGTTGAACTAAATTTGGGGAAATGCATATATTGTGCTTTGCCTTTAAAATTTAGCCATTCATATTTTGTCATTTTAGAACAACAAACTGCAATGTATTTTATTAGGATTTTAATTAACATGTCCAACACTGTTACGGCGACAGCAACTGATAAATGGTTTTCAAACTTTCAACAAATAAAAATCTGTTTTTTATTTGTTAAACAATAATACTATGATGTATATAGCCTCATTTAAGTGGATACTCTGAAATTAAGTTCAGTATAAACAATACCTTTTGAAGTCACTTTATCAAAAGTCACCTGTACATAATTTAGTGTAAATATCTCTCAAGTCTTAACATTTTAAAGAACAATGTTAAAAGTCACCTGAACTGGCAGACTATCGTACAATTGTACATGTAGCAATACATAGCCATTCGATAAAATGGCTATGTCTGTAGATATAGAGTTCAGAGCAGCAGAGAACCACACTTCACGTGGGAGAATAAAAAGCTCTGCAATTGTTTTAAGAAAGCCATAAGAATGATTAAAGATTGTAACAAATCATGTTGGGGGGACAGTAATCTTTTGCTCTGGTCAGATGAGACTTCATGGCCTAAATATGTGGGGAGGACAAGCAACACGATTTATTACCCTGCCATCGCCACTGTGAAACATGGCAATGGCATCATGATGCTGTGGGAATGCAAAAACGCATGTCTAACTTTTTTATTTATTAGGACATGAGAAACTTTATGTTGGGCCATTTTATAAAATCCTAATGAAATACACTGAGCTCTGCAGCTGCACTGAGACAAAATGTGGAAAGAGGCATGAATACTTTAGCAAGGTGTTGCATTGTATGTTCACACACATTCAGTGAGCCATCGTAGATAAGAAAGCATTCAAAGGTTTATTTATATTTTTATTTGATTAAACTTGGGTGACTTTTATTTCAAGACAACTTGAGTATTGGTTGTTTTTTTCAGCTTTCTGGTGTTATTAAACTCAACTATGATAAAATTCAACAGCAAAATCATCATGGTGTGCATGAGCAACATATTTCTATGTATTTTGTGCATGTACAGTTTCAATTTTTGGCTAGAATGAAATGTCATTTGTGTATTCAGACTAACAAACAGAAACCAACTCAAAAGCTTAATATGAAAGAATAATTTGACCATTTTATTTAATGTTTGAAACACATTAATCTGTTCCAACCACATTTATTTAATGTGTTCTCAATGACATGCAAACATGGAATCAAAGAGTCTTAATAATACACTTTTGTGCCCACGAATAAAAATGCTTAAATTTTAAATCATACAGTTGGGATCAAGATGTTGCTGTCATCTGATTAAAGCTGCATGTCTATTCAAGAGAAGTTAACTTTATTGATTTGTGGTTGATAAGTGGATTTTCTTGAGGATCAATCTAACTTCTGACATATGTGAAGTGTCATATAAAGTATAAGCCTACTAATCACATGTATGTAACAATCTTACTCAGGTTAGCAGTCAGTTATTGTTTCAGTTCTAATTGATTCTCTTCCGTTAACAGGGTCCGGATGGATTACCAATGCCTGGTTGCTGGCAGAAGGTGAGATAATCTTCTGGGAGTCAGCAATATTATGGTTTACTCTGGAAATTGAGGGTACATTTAATAGCAAAGCGGGATTCATTATTAAAATACTTTAAATTCCATTGTAATTCAGCTTTTTTGTGCAAGGCTTGAAGCATGCAAAATGTTGATTTTCATTTCCGAGTTGAAAAATATGTAGCAAAAAGTTTATAAAAAAGACACCTAAAAGAAGATAGCAAAGCTTGTTGTCAACATTTATTGAAAAGTGATGAAGTTATGTATGAAACACCATGTTTGGGTATCGATACATAACAGAACTGCCACCCAAGAAGAGAATTTGTCAGAACAAAGTGACGATTTATGTGCCAATTTGTCAGGAGAGGAGCAGCAAATCAAGATAAATGTGTTCCTAATTTGGACAATTACTCGCCCCACAGATGTAAATGAGAGCTTAGTGTGTCTTTAGCTTCTAGCAAAACTAAAATTTATAAAACGTATCATTTTTGCTCCAATTCTGACCAGTATTTCTATCCCAATGCAATGGGATAGAATTTATTTCAAATATGATTTCTTTCATTTTGTTGACTCAATTATGGTTTTTCTCACGTGTGTTTCACCGTCTTTATGTTTGCATGCGTTCTCTGAGAAACTGGAAGAATCAATACGTGAATGCTGTGTGAAACATCTCATTGTGTCAAACTGAAAGACCTACTCAAAGTGACAAAACAACTTGTTTTTGTATGCTTTCTTTGCAGTGATCACTCTAACCTGAAACGCATGGAGTTTGTAAATAATGCTTCTTTTATGGTATTTATAGTTTTTTAATGGGGAAAAAAAAGAGTCAAAAAGAAACAAGTCTATGTGTGCAACAATACAAAAGAAAGAAAAAAAAAAGATAACCGTCTGTAAGCTGCTTCTACTCACATCGCCGTGTGGAAACAAAAACACGTGTGTGCGTCCCGCTGTCTCACATCTGCTTCGCGATGGAGTTCAGATCCTCGGCTGCCAGCAGAACTCGTGTCTTTAGGTTTTTGCATGGCCCGGACTGGAGCGTGGCAGTCCCGCCAGATCCTAAGGGTTGGAAGGAGTGAGACGAGAAGAAGTGGAGTTGGGAAGTGGAGGAAATGGGATCTGGATTGGCTTCTTAACACAAAACGCTAAGTGTCGTGTGCTGTTTTGTCTCCATGAGCTCACCAACTATTCATGCGGCACCATTCGCTCAAAGACTAAAAATCATTTGAAAAGGGAAAAAAAGACTGCACTGAGCTGACTGAACATTGCTTTTCACCCTCAAGCCCCCATCCCTTGAAAAAGCATGAGTAGTGGACTATATTTAAATGTAATGTACATACATGTCACTGTTATGTGATTGTTTCATAATTTGTGTGGGAAAAAAAAAATCTGAAAAATCAGAAGGCCCAAAGCTCTGAAATGGTAACTTTTTTCTTTCCTTTTAATCTTCTTAAGGGAGTCACACCATGGCTTGTAGCCTGAGTACCCTCCTTCCCCTTCTGAGAGTAAAGGTGTCAGTACATTTTTTTTTCTTTTGCTTTATTTGTGGCGAAGCCTGCCGAGCGAACAGTCTCGTCAGGCTTTTGCTGTTGCACTCATGGGGCTCGACATCGCCAGTGCGGCGCGTCCTCAGGGTCGCGTATCTCTGGACAAGAGTCTCGGCAAGAGTCTCTGCACTGGCAGGAAAACCAATCAGTCTCGCGCAGTTTGGATTGGAGCCTGGTCAGGCGTGCTTGGTGAGCAAGGGAATGGAAATGGATTCTGCAGGAGAGTCGCTCATCGTCCTCTCTGTCAGATGAAACGGGAGACGCTTCGAGATCTTCTGAGAACGTTGATAGAATGCGGTTGTGATGTTTTTCTTTATTCATTTTTTATTATTTTACTCTTTTCTTTTTCTTTTCTTTTTTTTACACATTATTTGTATTTTCTGTAATATAGCCTTTGGTGCCTCAAGCTTTTATTCATTCCTTTATCAAAAGAGTTTATACTTTATTTTAAACCATTTAAGTGGAGTGTATTTCAAAATGGAGGAGACATTTTGTTTGGTAAGGACTGAAAAGACGTTGCGCACTGTTTTTGTTTTGATCTGTTTCGTCTTTAAGAATAACTCCGTCTGGTTACCAGTGAGTTGGCATTGATTTCAACCATGTATCCACTAAAGCTGCGTAGTGTTTGCATAAAACATTGCGGCAGTGAATGGAAGTAGCTGAAAGTCTTACTTTTAGCTACTTCCCTGGAATAACTCACACATGTTATTCCAGGGACATCTCCTCTCACACAACTCAAATTCTCCACGTTAATAATTCACTCTTGGTATTGAAAACTCGCTTGCAAATATGCTGAAGTTGTAAGAGATCTCGTGTACAGTGTGGTCAAGTTTTCTGCATGAACACTGTTTAGAAAATGTAGATTTAAAAAGAAAACTGTCATTTTTGATGGAGTGTATCCAAAGGCTATTTAAATCCATTTAAGGTCTAAAGTAGAAAAGGTTATTGTCAACATAATAGTCTATAGCAAGCTTCTTTACAGCTATACATTTCTATATTGTCTTACATACGGTGACAATATGTATATTGAAGTACAGGACATTAATCATCTTCCACCAACACCAGTCTGGCCAGTTATATCACATTCCTCATCACATGGAGCAAACAGAATTTAGGATTAATATTTATTTTATCACACAAGTCCATTTACCTTTTCATATTTCCAGCATTACAATTAGTTATTTTGACAATGTAGGTACTATGCAAGGTAAGTTTTTTGTTTGTTTTTGTTTTGTTTTTTTATGTATAGTGCATTTCAGAAGTATTAAAAGCCCTTCTTGTATTATTACATTTTGAGTTGTAACAGCTAAAATCTTTAATAAATTTCATTGGGGTTTGTTGTAATTGATCAGAGCAAAGTAGTGCATAATTGTGAAGTGGAACTTAAATGGTTTTCATCGGGGTTCTTCTTTTCTTGGAGATAAAAGTTTGAAAAGTGTGGTTTGCACATGTATTTGGGATCCTAATTGAATTTTTTGTTGAGCAACCCTTCTTCAAACATAGTGACATCTAGAATAGAGCTGCACAATATTTAAAAAATCTAGCATATCATTTGTGTGCTGTGTGAACATCTGCTCTTGTCCAACTAGTTAGCGAGTAAAACACAACTTCATAACTTCCTTTGGAACATATTAGCCAACAATTATTCCACTCCAAACATATTTCTAATATGAGTATTACACACTGATCTAGTGATGACAATATGTTTGATTGATTGATTTGTGATATATTGTGCAGCCTTAAGCGATAGTCGATTGTTCTTTTCAGAATAGCATAGAGGTCAAATTAACAGATTACCTATCAGAGCAAAACTAGCGAAATACATGCACACTTCAAAGTATTGATTTGGAAAAGTAAATGTAGAATACTATGCGTCACGTATCCACCTAAAAGTTAGGCACTGCTTTGTGTTGATTTATCACAAGATGCGTTTCATCCCAAAAATATTGACATTTGTAATTGTAACGTGAGATGTGAACGAGTTCCAGGGGTGTAATAAACATTTGCGAGGCACTGTACAGTCAGATCTTAACCATTTACTGTAGGAGCAGATGTGGTACTGGCAGGTCGATCAGTGAGGATGTTTCTGTTTAACTGTTCATCTCATCATGATAAAGAGTGGATGCACATCTGTACAAACCATTTCTTTTTAATCATACCAGCAGCTACAGCTAAAAGAAGAAGAAAAAGCAGATTTCTTTACAGCTGTTGGGGGTTTATGTTTGTCTAAAATAGGAGGGTTTTTTTTAAAACATTTATTTGTGTATTTGTTTCAGTATTCTAAGTGGTGCATTATTTATTTTTCTACAGTTTTCTTTTTGTAAATGAAGGCATTTTGTTGGGTTCTGAGCAGCATTCCTTTTTAGTTTCTGATGCCAGTGTTTGTGTTGATATGACAGAACTTTAAGCTCATAATGAGGCATCATAAAACAAATCTGCAAATGTAACATTGGTAGAAATTGAGAGGGCATTTGCATGTTATTGTAATGTGTACTTAATGTGCATTTACTTCAATTTGTCGGCCTTACATCACACGAGTACATCTGCTTTGTCTAACTTTGCGTGTCAACTATTACGACACACCAATTATAAATTCATGACGGCCTTTTCTCACACTTCTTTTTTTCTGTTTTTCTTTGTCTCTTTACATTGAATGTAGTTTGATATATATGTATAGTGGAATATTAATGTACTGTTGAGATGTGCTCATTTGATATAAAGTGCAATTTATACCTTGGTTCATGCGTGTAGCATCAAATGCTGCTTAACTATCACACTACAGTGGTTTTCTTTAGCTTCATTTGTTCAGCTGTGCGACCCTGTATACCACTACCTGGAGACATGGAGGAATATGTAAACACAGACTTTTAATTAAATCTTAATTTACAGGATTTTTGTTTCAATCTCTTTTTTCAGTCGATATTTGTGTCAATATTTAATAGTTTGTTTCGGTAATTATTTTTTGTCTTGTTTTGATTACCAGCCTTTGTTTTTATTACAGCCTTTGTTCTCATAAGGTGCTGTAACTTTAGAATGTGCAGCTATTTTTTTTTATTATTTTATTAAACATTGTTTGTTTGAGTTTGGTGTTTAAAGTTTCACATTTAGTTGACTAAGCTAGACATAAGTGCCAAAATATATTAGCTATTGACTTCCTATTGAGCTGCACAATTGATGCTTTGAATCTATAATGCTGTGCTGCACAAACGCCTCTTGCTTAAGGTTCCTCTGAGGCAGACTTTTTCAACTCTGGTCCTCAGGTACACTGCTCTGCATGCGTTAAATATTTTATTGCTTTAATAAATATAACAGACGATTGTAGTTCTTTAAAAATAAACAAAAACTGTTAATCAACCATCAACTGAAATCATGTGTCAAAGCAGGGAAACATCTGAACCATGCAGGGCAGTGTACCTTGATAGCCAGTATTGAAGAAGCACTGTACGAAAAGTTAGGACAGCATTTCTAACCCTGACCGGCATGTGAACTGATCAAAAATTTGTCCTTTTGATACTTTTTGTTTGTTTGTTTATTACCAAAAAACTTTATTTTCTTTTATAGTTTGGAGCAGATTTATTTTAAGTTTTCCAAGGTGTCTTTTTTTTTCTTAGTTTGGCCCCTAGAAACAGTCAAAAATATAAATAAGTGATGTTGGGTATATTTACCACATTTGGACTTTGGTAAATTGACTTTGTCTTGGTTGTGGAGGAAAACTTTCAGCTGGATGGTTGTCATCCACACAACCTTCTTGTGGCAAAAATAATTATAACATGCAGAAGCGTTGACACGAATAAAATCCCACATTCAATGAAAAGGCTTGTTTTTCTTTTCTAAAACAAAATTAAAATAAATATTTTTTAAAGTTTTAAACACAATAAGAAAATCAGAAGTGATCACATTTGATCGGTTTGCATGTGGCTTTTAAGGTCAACTGAAAGATGAGCTAAAACAGTTCAGACATTTTGTCTACCAGTATGTATTTGGTATTTTGAAAAAAAAACTGATTAGACCGAGAGAGCAATCTTTCAGGGCTTCCACAGAGGACACAGTGAAGTGCATTAACATTATTTTCCACTGATCCAAACTTTCCAAGTGAAAAAGCAGATACAAGACAAAAGAGTTGCATTCACAATGTTGTTGCTGCTGCGTTGATGTTTAAGCGCAGGAATTTTCTTGGATTAACAAAAATTCTTGAGCCAAATTGAAAGCGCAGACTTGTCATGTATCTTAATTCTGGTTTTATTTGTGTAACTCAAACAAAACGTTTTGAGTTATTGGACGTTTTTTATGGTATGTTTTTCCTTTCAGCCTTTTTTCTTTTATTGATGCAACTTTATCTACGTCACTTGATCTCACATTCTGTATTTCGAGCTGATATTTCATATGACTTTACTGTTGGAAGAAAATAAACCATCTTTTAAATATTCCAAAAATAATGTTTGCCTTTATTTCCAGTTTTAGATTGAGGTATGTTTAAATTCTTATGTTCAATAAAAACATAACTGCTCACATATAGTTGGAGAGTTATTTGTAAAAATGTTTTGGCACAACTGGTCTTTCTTCAACAGTAGCTGGATGGATAGGAGAGAAGGAGAACTGCACAGATACATGCTTGAAGAGTTTATGTTTATAATATAAAAGAATTGAAACCTTGTTGCGTTGTAACAGCACCATCAATAATCCGAAATAAATGTTCGCTAGTGTGAGAAATAGCTATTTATCTTTTAATCTTTTGAAATGTTTAGAATGTGAAAAACTCAAATTCACGAAAACTGGGGAACTACTGAAGAACGTCACGTTTTCTGACGGGATTAACCGAATTTAAAAATAGTTAACAATTTAGATAAGCTTAACTACAATAACGTGTTTACATTAGGCCAAAAGAGAAAATATGGGTTGATAAAAAGCTGATTTAATGTTGTTTTTTGTTCCTTACAATTGGGTTTGCAATTTATTAGCCATTTTTCATGTGTATTTTGTTTTATTAAATATCCTGATCCACACATTGTCAGGAGCCAGTGTGTGTTTTCAGACATTTACTAACAAAAGCACAAAAGTGCCTCTTTCTGTCGATTTATTTATTCTATCTTTATGATCCACTTTTATTTATTCCGTTATTTTTTCCCCAAATTTTAAAAATCGCTATCGCCCTACCAGATATTTTAGTTGAGGCTATCTAACTTGAAACCATAATGCATTTTTAGGATATTTGAAAGCTGCCACAAATCACCTACAAATCCACAAACATCTAAAATGACTGTTTTAGTTATATTCTTCCTTATTTCCATTCAGCACTTGGGAAAATGAATGGTGTTTTCAGATAGTGTGTCAAGCAGCATTGCACCAATGTTTTCTTTTTGATATTTTAGATAACCTTGACAAAAGAGTCTGATGCAGAGATCTTGCATTTGGAAGTTACTTAATCTTAATGTTTCATGGCGAATACTCAAAGTTTGACACTAAGCCACGCCCACATGCTTTGACGTTAACTACAACTGCTCGGGGCTGATAAACAGCAAGAAAACAATAGGCCTTCGCAGCGCTTTGCTGCTCGGGCCTAATTCATTCACTCAAAAAATGCAACGGGTCGTCAAATAATTTGTTGTTTTTTCGAAAAACAACAAATTTGAATAGACTGAATAAACCTGTAATTAAGAAGATTATGTTTGGACCCTAAAGCCCAGTTCACACTACACAATGTTTTGTCCCAACCAGTACCGAGCACCCATGGACCAACATCAGGGTACAGAGTTACCTGATCTCGGCCGGGGAGCGCCAGGGTACAGTTCCCAGAGTTGGACCCCGTCTCAGGGAGTTCCCTGGATAATCCCAGCCCGGCTGGAACAGATGGTGTCGCAACTGGGTGAACAGACTGGCCGAGTTTGAAGCCGATCAATCGAAATCCCTAGGAGGAGTTCGATCAAAGCAAAAATGGGGTAAAAATTGGAACTTCAATCCAAAATGGCCGACATCCTGTGATACTTGCACGATGACATTAATTGTAAATTCTGAGCATCTTGGGGAGCTCTACAAGTGTATCAAATTTCATGTATATATTATTCAAATTTTGTGCTTTATCCAGAGGACCTGTTTTGTCAAGAATCACTGAGAGGTCATTTAATTTCCCCATTTTTTTAAAAGATGACTTTTAATTTTCCCTCTACTTTTGTCCACGTGTCCTCTCTGGCTTTCCATACCTTTGTCAGACTTTGATAGCAGCGCGAGCGAGCGGCGGTTCTCGTGCCCTGCCCGTGCGCGCGCGCGTCAATAACTCCTTACAGGTGTAATGTATCCAGGCTGGAACAGATGGTGCTCGACCAGCTGTGCTGTTGCGTGACTTGAAGATGTCGCTTTACGGACTGGAGAAAAACAAGACGATAGACTTGAGGAAGAAGCACATTGGGTAAGGCTTGTCACTCTGACATGACTGCAGATGTTGGAGAACTTACAGAAACTGATTATGCAGAGCATTGCAGAAAAGAAAATGTTTGTCTCTCACCTTGTTATCATTATTATAACTGCCGAGAACCAATACAACAATTCTAAAGTTATTTGCTTATAAATTTAATTTTTAATTATTTGTGTGGGGCATTACTACTATGTGGTTACCTTTGTGCTGGCATATTGTTTTATGTTAAAGTGCTGAATCTGAAGGGATTCACATGTATTGGTGCAACAATTTATTTCTCCTCTGAAGACCATCCTGTAAGATCTTCTTCAGCCATGATCCCATCAAGATTGTCAAAGCCAAAGGTCAGTATATGTACGACGAAAAAGGACAGCGCTACTTGGACTGCATCAACAATGTGGCTCACGGTGAGCATAAAAATGTGAAACACACTTTTAAATGTAAAAAAAAAAAAAAGTCTCGTTCTTGAGATTCTGAAAAGATCTTCAGGCAATACAGGAATTTTTTTCCCCACAATTATCTGGTTTAATTTTCATGATTTTGACCTCCTGTTTTTCTCCAGTGGGTCACTGTCACCCAGACGTGGTGAAGGCAGGATCTGAGCAGATGGGATTACTTAACACCAACACCCGGTTCTTGCATGACAACCTGGTCCTGTATGCCCAGAGGCTGCAAGCAACCCTGCCAGACAAGCTGTCTGTGTGCTACTTTGTCAACTCGGGGTAAAATACATTCGTTTCACACCTGAAACAAATACTTTAGAAAGGCGTTACCAACAGTCAGACCTGTTCAGAAGGTTCAAGAAACCCTCACTTAGGTTATAACAACAGTTGTTTTCATAACAAAAGTTATGAACTTTAGTTGTTATGAAAAAAAAAGGTTTTATGTTTCAAAACTTTTATCCATGAGTTTTTTTATACTTATGTACAAAAAGATTACATTTTCTCCGATGTATAGGTTACACGCATTTGAAAACATTTAGTTAATAAACATTTTATGGTGCAAAGGTCTCTTAGTTTGTCTATATTGCAGACGTGAACAAAGCAAGGATAAGATGCATACTCAGCATTAGTGGCTTCCTAAAGGTCTGATTGATCAAACTGATCCAGGTCACCATTGTTACTTATTTACACCACTTTTCTGCAGTACTGCAGCATTAACCGTCTGAATAATCTAGATGGAGGCGATTATGTTTTTGATAATGATCCATAAACCCTCAATACTACACAAGACATATCAGCAATGTTAAGTTATAAACTTGGCATGAAATATGTCTTTAGAGGCCAAAAACAGCTCAAAAGTGTGAGCTGACAGACTTTGGTCTAACAGCTAGTAGTAGATGCAAAAGTATTTATCTACCGAAGCACTTCAGAACAACCACAGATTTCGATTACAATTTCTCTGAGCGAAAATCCCAAAGGGATTAATAAAGTTTATATCTATCCATCTAATCTACTCCATCTTCACTGCTTTTATTAAGATTCTGTGTGATGGAGCGTAAATATGAAGTGGAAGAGTAGGTTCTACCAAATATCTACCACCTGAGCTGTGGATCTCTGCAGCTCCTCCTAACTTTGAGGAACCTTTTGGTTACTTTTTGTACCATCTCAGTTAAAATCGATAGAATACAAGTGCATGCTACACATTTCACACCTTTATTTGTAAAATAAAATGTGAAAAGCGTGCATGATTTTTCTTCCACTGCATATTGGTTTATCACAAAAAATCTCAGTAAAATAAATTGGTCATAATTTGACAAAATCAAAATTTTATTTAATTTAATTTGAAACCCCTTTTCAAGGCTATAAGAGTAAATTAGCAGTTATTTCTTTCTTTTTGCATTTATTCAGTCAGAATGAATGAATGGGCGTTCGCCTCAGCTGCCCTTGCATTGGGAGATGAAATAACACGCAGCGAATGACGTCCATGAGGCTTCACCTGTGTATTTTGTGGTGACTGAGTAACTTGATGTAACCCTTTGCCCCATCAGCTCTGAAGCCAACGACCTGGCCCTCAGACTTGCATGGCAGTACACAGGAAACAAAGACATCATAACACTGGAAAAGTAAGAGCCATCATATCTCGGTCATGATGTGTGTTGTGACGGAGCAGCCGCGTTTTCTTACCTTTTGATTCATAGTTTGACACAAGAGCTCTAAGTGAGCCGCTGGATGGTGTTTACTCTGTCTGCAGTGCGTACCATGGCCATGTGTCATCGCTCATCGACATTAGTCCTTATAAGTTCCCCCAGCTGTCAGATGCTGAGCAGAGTCACTTCGTCCACGTGGTGAGTGAGGTTTTGCGCTCACCTTCCGCCTGCCTGCACGCTATTAAAACCCCATAGCTTTGCTCTGCTCTGCTGCGTTTTGACAGGCTGCTGAGTTTCAGCATATGCGTGAGTGGAGATGAGAAAGGAAAAGACAGAGAAGAGTAAAAAAAATAAATGCATCCAAAAACTCTTTTACCCTGAACTAAATTTTAATAAAACTCGTTTTCTAAATTTGGTTTGGAAACATTTATTTGGTTGAAGTTTTGCTCTTTCGGACAATTTCTTCCCTCTGGTTTTGGGTGCCTGGGTTATACTTATGAAATGCATTATGAAAACTTTTCTTTTTTTTTGGGATAAATAAAGAATTTTTTCATAGAATTCAAATATTTTTGATAGCTTTCTTTGGTCTTTGGATGATTTTTACTAAATTACAGTACCTGGCCATCTTCATAGCTTCTAAACCTCAAACTGAAACAATGATGTAGCACTCTGTAACAAAAATACTATTTAAATCCAGTACACACTCCCAGACAGAAGCGAGGCTGCTGTTCAGTGAGTGCCACCGGCCCACCTTGCCACCAGGAGCATATATGTATTTCCACAACAAGGAATAAAATATAAAGAAATGTGTTAGTTTGCAGATTGACACAGAAAAACACAGAAAAGAAAAGTAAGAGCCCTCTATATTGTATTCTTTCCACACAGGCTCCAAGCCCAGATGTGTACAGAGGCAAATACCGTGCAGACTGTCCTGATGCAGCTACAGCGTATGCAGATGAAGTCAAAGACATAATAGAGAAAGTCCATAAAAAAGGACATAAGGTATAGTTCATGTCTAATGTTTTTGTATGCTTAAACTAATACAGTGCTTAATATATTGTATAGTAATTAATTATACAATTAACTAAGTGTTTGAAGTAAATTATTTCATTGCACAAAATGACCAATATGCTTTGGTTTGTTTGACTCTGGACTAATATACAAGAAATATAGACACATTCTGTGTTTTCCTCTGATTTAATTAAATACCTGGTGGCACTTTTTTATTTTTTATTTTTTTGACAAAATTGTGTGAAAGCTTTGCTAACATTGGATCTGATGACCTGGAGTACCATTGAAGCCTGTCCCAACATTACACAACAGCCACAATCTTATTTATCCCAGTCAAGTGAAAACCAACTCAGCAGACTTGATACAGGGAGGCGTACGGGTCAAAGACGACGGGAACCGTTTTATTTGCTGCTTATCAGCCTGGCTGCAGATATGTGGAGCCGATATGTTTTTCTCTTGGGCAGATTGCTGCTTTTATTGCCGAATCGCTGCAGAGTTGTGGCGGGCAGGTCATCCCCCCGGTGGGTTACTTCCAGCAAGTGGCTGAGTATGTATCCAGCATTAGTGTTTGTGTTTACACTGAGAACTATAGTGTCACTGACAGTTTTTGATATCAAGTCTGCCCTAATTCGATGAATGTACGACTAGGTCTGAATAAACTTTCCTCCTCTGCAGGCATGTCCGCAAAGCAGGAGGTGTTTTTATCGCGGATGAGGTTCAGGTGGGTTTTGGCAGAGTTGGCTCTCAGTTCTGGGCCTTCCAGCTTCAGGGAGACGACTTTGTGCCTGATATTGTCACAATGGGGAAGCCTATTGGCAACGGCCACCCCATGTCATGTGTGGTCACAACCAGGGAAGTGGCTGAAGCCTTTTTGACATCTGGAATGGAGTACTTCAATACAGTAAGAGCTTTAAGAATAAAGGGAAAATTAAAGCAGCTCATGTACTGGATATTAGATTTTTTTTTTGGTCTTTTTTTATATAAAATTATGTTGCAAAAAAACTAATTAAAAATACTTAAATGAATACGTAAAACCTATTATTTTCATATTGCTTTTAGTTTGGCGGTAACCCCGTGTCTTGCGCCATCGGTCTGGCTGTCCTGGATGTGATTGAGAAAGAGGATCTGCAGGGAAACGCAGTGCGGGTCGGGCAGTACCTCACTCATGTGCTGGAAAAACAAAAGGAGAAGCATCCGCTGATTGGAGACATTAGGTGAGCCAAAGCCCGACTCCAAAACGCTAAATAATCAGTGACTTCACAAGAAAATACAATTAAGTCAACTGGGGAATTCCAGGTCTTCATAACACCTTTTAAATCTTATGTATTTACATTTTTGCAAATTAATTAAGATTCTTCAAATCAGCATAAGACTAAAGAGCTCTGACATGACATTTCTCATAGCTACACACACTTTGTACCACTTTTTTTTCATATGACATCAGAGGCTCCAAAGGAAAGTTGATTTATTACAATTAGGTGGAAAATCAAACATGTTCTCGATTACTTTGTGTTTTTAATCACATGAAAGACATCATAAAAGAATGTATGAAACAATAGAATATTAGCAATTTTCAGCTATGGCTTCAGGCTGAATGAAGGCGTCGCTCTCTGCAGGGGGCGTGGCCTGTTTGTTGGGGTGGAGCTGGTGAAGGACAGAGTGAAGCTCACTCCAGCTACAGCCGAAGCCCAGGAGGTCATTCATAAGTAAGACTTAAGGTTTTTGTCTTGTTTTTCTGAGGTCAAAAACAGACATGTCACACAGAATCGACATGAAAAGTGTGAAGGTTTTATTTGGAGAAAGTGAGGAGAATTAGAAGATAAGTACTGAACAGATAAAACAGGATAGACAGAAGATGTTGATTGCTACCAGATAACTTTGTCTTTAAGGAAGATAAACTAAATGTTCAGATTGTAAAGTCCAAACTAACAGTTATAAAAACACTATTGATCACTGCATAAAGCTGGCATTCAAAGGTTTTTTTACAGATTTTACCTACAGAAGAGTGGTAGATGGTTCTCCTTTAGCTTCAACACCAGTCTGGTTCTTCTTTACCTTTCTCTTGCTTACAATTGAAAGCAATTGCAAGCAAGGGTTAAGTACTGGCCCCCTCTTTTAGCAAGCTGAGCAGCAGTGCTCAGTAAGATGTGGCGCATATTTTAGTTCAGAGACAGCTGAACCAGGAAGAAAACAAAGCAGCTGATTATGGTAAAGATATAATGCCATCAAATACTGTATGCCTGTGTAAATAACCACAAAGAGCTAAATACTGAATATTTCCAGATTAAAGGAGCAGCACGTCCTTTTAAGTGCTGATGGACCTCATCGTAACGTGTTGAAATTCAAGCCCCCGCTGTGCTTCACCACGGAGGACGCTGACCTGGTGGTGGAAAAGATCGACCCCATTCTTAAAGGTATTTGTTTACGAGCAGGCAGATGCTCTGTGAATGTGTTCAGAGGTATTATGTTCCTACTTCCTTCATTCCAGAGCTGGAGGAAGCATTAGGCTTGAAGACAAGCGATTCAGCAACTACAGAAAATGAAAAGAGGAGAAAGGTAAGCTGGGTGTGAAATCCTACCAACTCTGCCAAGTTTTTTTTACCCGATGAGTCAGGCTTTAATTACTTTCATTTGTGCTTCACTTCTTCACAAGCTGTCGACGGATGAAAATGGGCACAGTGGGTTTAATCACAGCAGCGAAGGAGTCCAAGAACAAACCAAGCAAAGGAAACGGACAAAAACATAAAGATGACTAAAAGCATCTGAGAAAAATGTCTCAAGATTATTTTTACACAAATGAAGGTGCAGCACCTTCTCAGGTGTTTGACTCAGAATATCTTGGTGGTTAAAAACAAGACTTTAAGGTTATTACAGAACTAACATGTCGCCTAATGTTTTAAATGTCTAATCCTATAAATCGTGTGTGTATGAAAATACTATGTGGCACTTTGGCAACAAACCACCTCATTCCTCGTTATAGATATATGAAATATTTGTATGAACCAATGAATACAGTTATATTCTGTCATATAAAATAGTATTTAATTTGATATTTGAATTAAAAAGGACATTTTTAAACCTAGTGTTCTGTTTTCTTAATGCGTACCAGTTCTGTTTCTTTGTGGTACTGAATCTCCACCGAACAGGGACACTGTTTGACAAATCTTCAATTATTTACCAATGTTTCCACGTTCCAGTCTGAATTCAGCGTTACTTGGATGTGATACTGATACCACTTTTTTTTTTTTGCAAATGGAAATCAGAAATGTGGTGTGCATATTCAGCCCTTTTTACTCTTGTGCCAATAAATACAACTTACTCCAACCACATGCCTTTGAGTCTAATCAAATTAGTCAATAGAATCCAACTGTTTGTAATTTACACTCAAAAAATTTGAATTTAGGGAGCTAGTTCTAAAGTGTAGCTCAGGAATTCAGTGAGGACACAACTGGGATTTGTAGCAAGTTTTCACAAAACAAGTTTCAAATGGACCTGATGGCGCAAATTTGACTTCAGATTCACAATATTCACACATATGAAGACATCAAAACAAGAGTTCATAAATGATGTGTATTAAAGTGAAATGGCACAGACAAATAATATGAAAGTCCTTTTTATGAATGACAAAAAGGAATTTTAATGCCGTTTAAAGGACTCAATTTCTCAATGTATGAATTAGATGGGTTGTTTGCTTTATCTAATGTAAATTTCCAACAGCCCTGTTAGAAATATATTTACTGTACAAAACGGTGTGCCAAAAACTTATTTTCTGACAAATATGCACCTTTTTTTCTTACTGTTAAAAGTCCAATATCCCCCTTTTGACGTTGCCAAAGTACATGAAAGAAACATGTACTTTGGCAATTCTGGAAATCTAGTCAAATGAGACTATTACAAGGTTTAATTGAAATATTTCCCTATAATTTGCTTTTCAACACTGTAGGGTGTAAAATATGAAAGTCTGAATTAGTTGATACAAGTAAATAAATTTTAAATCATTGCCAAGGACTCTAAATGTACTTCCCTAAAAATTACACAAAAGTTGTGAAACGAGATTCAGATTGTTTCCAGACAATTGATTGTGCCATTAAAAGGAAAAGTAAATAAGCAGAAGAATTACAAGTGACAAATCTACTGATACATAGTGTTACTTTCATGGCAGACATCTTGGAAGCTGTAAATCCAATGTTTACTTTGCTACCACATAGAAAAATAAACCTGTTAAGTCAGATGTAGTTATTAAAGACGTTTTAATGTCATAACTGCTTTGGAGTCATACATTTATTAAAAAACGTGTTAACTGGTGTTAAATATAGAGGACGTATATATATATATATTTTTTCCAGCAGTCGCAAACTAAAAGGCCTTTCAGAGTCAAAACTAAAGTCAACTGAACACCACCCCCACCTTGTGGAGGAAATGTGACAGTACACTTGGATCGAGTAAAAATGTATTTTTAAGGCTCTATAAAAAAATAACAATATTAGTGTGAACAGCTATGACCCAAGGTCAATCATAAAAATATAAACGTGTGACAATCTGAGTAAATGAAGATGTAACCATGTACAAAAACAGAAAAGTTAAATTTCATAATCTTGTTCAATGATTTTAATACAAAAACTGACAAACACTTTCAGACACTCAACAAAATAACGCAAACAGTTCTAATTCTGTACTGAAATTGGTGGCTGCATGTCATAGACAGCTTTCTTTACACAGCTTTTCTTAAACAAATGTGAATAGGCAGTATCATTTACACAGCCTAAGAAAGAGGTCTGCCAGAGGCTCTGTGTTTTAAAGGTTTTGTTTTGGCGAGGGTGTTGGTCTGGTTGCATTTCTTGAGCAAAGTCTGTGCTTTCAGTCTTGAGAGGTTAAGATTTGGGTAAGTGTCACCTTTATTTGAAACTGATTCTACAATTCTGTTTGGTAAATTTCTGTCGTCCATGTTCTTAGCCCATAAGGTATCCTCTGAAACGATAAGACAGATGCATCACAGATTTTCAAACGCTTTTGATTTTTACCCTATGCCAACAGTAATTGACAATCAAATATTGAGCTTCAACTTACGGCAACTTCATGCGCATGAAAACTCTGGCCATGAAGAAGCTGAGGAGGACGCTGACAAAGCCGATGAAAAGCAGCAGGAAACGATTCAGTTTGGGAATGTTTGGCGCATTGGAGCGGTCCAGAATTATAAAGCCCAGGCCTCCCATGGTGAAGAGGAAACTGGAGGCCAGTCCTTCCATAATGTACTGCCCATTAACTCTGGAAAAGCAAGGAGACAAAATAAGCTGAGAATATGTCACTTTTTTTTCTATGTGTCTAAGTACTGAGAATTAGTGATACCTGTATGCCAGAAAGGCAACTGGTCGCTGGTGTCCATGCTCATCTGTCATTGAACCCACACTTGGAGGTTCGACAATAACGTCATAGATAATGCCTGTAGGTTGGACAAATGGATACAGATGAAAGAAAAGCACAACAAAAAACACAAAATGCATGAATTATTAGTATGCGATAGTGTTTGAGTAACTATGTCAGAAGTTTTCTAATCCTGAACTAATAAAAATGTGTGTTTGATACAGAAATCCTGGAGAAGACTGCAGATTAACCAGTTGTTAAGCAGACTGCCAAAGTTCACTGGTGAAGACATTTGCTGCCCTCAAACACGTCAGATCTCTCCAGGATATGGGCGGCTCCTAAAGCAAACCAGCTTCCTTTACCAGTCACAGGTATCCCAGGATGATCACATCCGTGCAGTAATTAATGATAAAGGAGCCCCAACCAAGTGCATGTTGTCCAATACATATTAAAGCTTTTCAGCATGTTATGAAACTCTTCTTTTATTTGCAAAATCTTCTGATCAAATTTTTTTTCTTACAGATGTAATTCCTGGGGTTTAAACATCAATATTTATCGAAATGAGAGCTTATAATAAGTCTGAGGCTTTCACATATAAATGTTTCTTCCTTTGGTATGATCTATTGGTCAGTGTAAATTAAATGTACAAGCTAGCTTGTTACACAAATAACAACAAAAAAAAGCTTTTATTGGTTTAGCTGGAAGGTTAACCTGCTTTAGCGACTACAAATACAACAAAAGCACATCTTAGTGCACATAAAACAAAACTATGAGAATTAAAGCTGCGCTGACATACAGTGTTAATGAAGACAGGCTAGCCGTCTCTTAGCTTGTTGTTAGCTATAGTTACCTCCCGTGATGAGAAAGTAGGACACAATGACGACCGCATACACTGTCATAGCCGACGGCATGTGCAGCCATGACGGTTTCTTCAGTTTTATATTCGGACATTCGAGCACAGCAAACGGAAAACTGTATAAAGTCTCCATGATGGAACAAAAAAAGTAGCTTCCTTCTCTCCAGCAGCGCTTTCAGCCTAGGCTCCAGTGCGTCTGCGCACTGACTTGGTTGACGTGTCCCGGAAGTACATGTGCTTCATTTTCTGTCTTTCTTCCGTAATAAATAATAATTTTAAAAAATCACTCTTTCAGAATAGAAACAGAAAAACGTTGAATATTACATCATAATAACCAATCTTCTACGTTACTTAAAGAAACAGTAAGAAATGTCCATCAGTTTTCAGTATTTGTATTTTTTTAAATGTATTTTTTCCTATGGGATTATTTCAATTACATTTGTATTCTTCTCATATAAAAACGGTTCAGCATTATATCACCAATCACTTCAGGACTGAAGACAATCGCAGTGTCGGTACAGAACAGGGCTTGAAAACCCCGAGTTATATTCTTAATTATGGCAAGTTTAAAATTATTTTAGAACCTTTTGTGATTTTTCATTTACATCAAAGTTTTCATGTAAACAAATCTTTTTGTATTAATCACAAGCTTTTCTTTAATGTTTTGTTCATCAAAGCAAATGGGGGGAACAAATTATACACATTTGGATGCATTTTTTCCCCATCTGAATTGCGTTTTCATGGACACAAGTGAAATATTGAGCCCACTGGAGGGCGCTGTTAACTTGCAGCTGGTATTTTATAAAATAAAAAATAGTACACAAAGTAAAATTGTGATCAATATTTGTAATATAATCCTATATAGAGATAATAAAAATAAGGGAATAATTGGAAAAATAATTCCATAAGTATTATTATTATAAGATGGAAACATAATTTCATCTTATTGGAAAAAAAAAGCCTATTTGATTCAATATATACACCAGTTTGCAATGTCTACAACTTAAATAGTATTTGAAGGTTATTCTTATAGCCTATCCATGTTTTGACATTTCTTCCATATTTTCAGCACTTCAAATCCTTTATTTTGCAAATGAACCTGGCCTGGCATTTTTACAATTTTTCCACATAAGTTGAAATGAAATTTAATTCAAGGATATTTCATTAGTCGATGTTTCTGCTGTCCATTTGCTCAGAGGATTCTTAGTCTAAGGCAGCTGATATATAACACAGACAGAACCACCCACAACTTGAAACAGATTTGTTTGTCTTTTTTTTATTGTGGCAAAACAAATACAGAATTTACTTCGATTTCTGGCTCTGTGCTTGTGCCTTGAGCACCTTGACAACGATCTTCTGCTCTTCAATCAAGAAAGCACGCTTGATCCTGTGAATCACACCAAGAGAGAAGTTTTAATACATTACTCATTAGAAATACAAAAATAAGGATTATAGTTTATTAAATGGCAGCATAACAATAATTTGTCCAATAAATAAAGCAATTAATTGCCATTTAATTGTATTAAATGGCAATTAAAAAAAACAAGGGGAGAAACAGCACTGAAAGTCTTTCAATATTCATAGCAGTTTTTAATGGAATTAGGTCTAACATGGGGTTAAGCCCAAATTTTCAGCAAATAAAGGCCTAAAATTTAAATAAAGGCTTCTCTTACCTGTCACGTACACACTTTGCACACATGGATCCACCATAGGCCCTGCTAACGTGCTTCTTGGTCTTAGAAAGCCTCATCAGAACTTGAGGTCTAACAGCACGAATCTGTAACAAACATCAAGCATAGGTTGATTTTTATTTTCAAAATCTACAAAATAAATCACTAAAAGTCTTAGCATAAGGTGCCTCAGTGTTAAGAACGTAAAAACAATCAATACTGTAACATATTCACCACAAAATTGAAATACACCTGCAACAACCTCAGTTTCATTTGGTCCAACAACACAAAGCAGCAACAGCTGGTTTTCTCCCAACAGCTGGGTGAGAAACATTTATCGTCCAAAGACCAGTCTAATTTTAGTTCTCCACATAAACAAAAGATAAATGCTAATCTACATTCTTAAAAAACTTTTGAAGACAATACATGCTACCAACTAGAGATTAAGTTTTTTAACCTAAAAATATTGCAGATATTCATGCCATTTCACTTTAAGTCTGTTACCATATTTGAAACACAAAAACAAGTGCAAAGAAAATCACTAGAAAAAAAAACAATGCAGAAAAATATAAAAACTTACAAATGTGTATGACATATAAACTCTAAAACCAAGATAAATTTTGTGTTTATGTTGTAAAAGGAGCCATTGTTTTAGCCTGTTACCTCTATATGGAGATAATTTCATGACAAGTTTAAATCGCACCTGTTGACAACTTCATAAAACAAAATTTAACACGTTTAACATGTTTTACATTTTCATGCAGAAAACTGCCAAATAACAAAAACTTTTATTATAAGACTATATTACTTAGTTTACACAGAAACCCACGTTACTCTTCCATACTGCTTGCATAAGAATATGCAACACATACTGGTTTTCAACTGTGCAATAAGAGGACAGAGGATTTAGTTTTTCCACACTAGAGTCCATTTGAAACTTCTTCGAACTCAAATGAAGCAAATATTTTTAAGTAATTAAAATAATTAGTAAACCCTTAGGTTTCCTGTGGGTTTTACAATCTTTTTTTTTATTTCCAATGTTGTGTGATGTCATTATTTCAAAGGACAAAGTAAAACTACTATGCCCTCCAGAAATAACAGCACCCAAAAGTGAAATTCGATTATCACTTTAGCATCTTTTTGTACATGTCAACAAATTATAATGTGGTATGAAAACTGATACATGAATGTATAAAACAATCACCAGCATAATATTAATACTAAGTTACAGCAATTCTGCATTAGAATAAAACTGTTTTCACCTACTATCATAATAAAGTTCCTCACTGGCTTTAACTAATAACTGCTACACACTTTCTAATGGCATGTTAAATATATTTACTGGCTTACACCATTTTTCATTTGTAAAGCCTAAATGCTGAATGCATTGTGCTCCAGACTGTAAACCAGCATCTAAACTCATTTAATCAAGGGCAGTGGTCAAGTTTGTTTACTTTGGTCATCAGTACACTGAAAACAGTTTTAAGGTTTGATGCACAGGGAGGTTAAACAATGAAATCACAAGAGAAAGGTCAATGTTGATGTTAAAGTTTGTTTTTTTAATAAGACTGAGCCAGTATTTTACAGTAAAATATCAAACACTAAATCATGTTTGAGATGATTTCAAGGTTAGGAAACCTTGTATGAAAACTGCTGTTGAACGTTGCTATTAGGAAAAGCTCCCACCATCGCATGTGTGTGGAGTTTTAACTGATTGAATGTTGCATTACTTTAATGTGACAGATTTTTCCTCCAGTATCTGATGTTTACATCTTTAAGCTGTTTCAGGCGAGTAATTAAGCCTGAAATTAATTAAGCTTAGTGCAAAGCTAATAAATGTTAATACAGAGATTGTGCTGAATCACTGTTGAAAAATGAGAAAGACTTTGAGTTTAGTCCATGTTTCTTTCACCATCATTAGATTAATTACAAGCGCTAACGTTCCTAATCAGCAGTAATTAGAGATGGTTCAGTTTTAGTGATAATTTTTAAAGTTGGATGAGAGATTTAGTTCTGCGTTTATCTACGATTCCAGCAGCTTTGTATTTGTTTGTTATGCATGGATACCCAACTGACAGGGTTGAACCAAAAACTCTCAGCATAAGAGAGTTTTAATACCACCAATATTAATAATGATAACATGTAGAAAACTTGACTCTTAGTGGGAAAGTTTGACTTAAAATAATACTTTATTGGCTATTTTGAAAAATATCTGTGGCATTGAGAGCTGTAATACATAACTGATATACTACTTGAGCATTTTTACATCCCCAGATTGTAATGTTTATGTAGATTTCAAAGGAATAATATTGTTATGCTGTTCCAAGCATCCATACACTTCCTCTAAGTGATTAATATCTACAGCGGGAAAGATATACAGGTATTACAGTGAATCTCAACAGATGTACTTACTCCACGAAGCCGTCCAGGGCAGATGCCACATGCTGACTTGGGGGCTTTGCCAACCTTCTTGGTGTACAGGTAGACAATACGGTTACCAGGAGTCCGGGACCTACAGACCCAACAACAAGCTTTATTACCAGACGGTAATAAGTTGCGGGTGTACAACCGTGGTAGAAAACGTTCACTTACAGTCTGGTCTTGTTAGAAGCAGTGTTGTAGGACAACCTGCGGCGGTAAGTCAGGCGTTGCACCATGTTGAAGCTGCGAGACAAATTTTATTTGAATGAGAAAGTGGTCGTAATGTTCATTCACGTCGTCATTACTTTATGACCGGCTTTAAGCTCTCTTGTCGCGTTTTAAACTCGGGTCATGTGTACAGTGGTACTTTTGACACCAGTACTCGTCGATTTCATTGTTACTCCACTACCCGGTTACTCTATTTAGCCCCACACAGCGGGCCTTATCCCAGCACAGAAGAGACGACTAAAAACGTCTTCATAATGCCATCTAACTTATACAATACTCATTTCCCTGAGTATAAAAGCATACTAAGAGTCAAACGACATCTTAAAATTTATTAAATTATATTCTAAACATGAGGATTACAGTCGATTTTACATTTGTAATCATGCAGAAGAAAACAGGAGCCGCCATACCTGCTTTCGCCGTAACCGGAAGAGGAAGGAGTTAGGCGGATGTTGAAGGTTAAAGTTTCTGCCCCCTGCTGGTGGGTTTGTTTACTATTTTTGGGCTAATAGCTTTTTCTAGAAAAATTGCTACTTAAAGCAAGCTTTTATTTGCTTTAAGAAGCCTTGAAACATTATTTCTATAAAATCCTTCTCCTACAACAGGGTTAAAAATATGTGTTACCTACAAACTGGTCTGTTTTATTTACAATATTCTGTGAGGAATTATTGTCATAATTTGTTTAAAAAGAAGGGTTTAGTCATTGGCTGACTTAAAGCCAAAACTTTATTTTATTCACATTGATACAAGATATAAGGACCTCATGTAAAAGTAGTCTGTATTGTCAAATTTGCGATTTCAGATCTGCGGTGTCAGTAAAGTAGAGACACCGAAGATAGAAAGTGGTGCAATTTCTTTTTGAAACAAAAAATTGGGACACATACCACTAGATGGCAGTAGAGATCCGA